GCAGCGGAACATGAAGCCCCTGGGAGATGAATCTGCAGCCTGAACCACGTCAGACAAACCTCCAGACCCCAAAGAGCCTCCCACAGGGTTGAGTAATGCCCAAACCCATTTGTCTTTGCCTTCAGGAACACCAGAAATCCACACTGGAGCTCCAAGTGCCACAATGTGGCAGAGCCAGGCACTTCTTGTCCCACTCACCATCATGTGTGCAAGTGGGACAGCAGTGGAATGTGCTGGCTGGGAAAAAGCAGGAATTCCAACCTGGACCATGTGCTCTCCGTGGGATAACTCCCTGTGGTGGGTTCGCTGCATCTCTCTTGATAGATTCCTAGAGGAGAAACTCTGCAATATCCTACAATGGCTTTTGTAAAACCTCCCTGAGTGTGTGATAGCCTGTTGTCTAAGTTGCTAAATTGAGTAGGTGGTAGTTGGAGCATCTCTGCAGGGGAAATTCAGAGTTTGGGGGCTGATGCCTCGTAAATGCCATAGGATTGCAAACACGGGGCCTAATCCTGCCTTAGTTCCACGTGACAGGAGCTGTGGAGTCAGCAAGACAGAACTGTGCATTGCTGGCCTGTTTTGTTTATCCAGGTCTAAAATCCACCCCCAATGGCTTTGCCCCTCTCTGCCCCGGCTCACACTTGGCTCCCTGACTCGGGAGTTTCACACCCTGCACGCGCAGGATTTGGCCCAATGATGGGTTTTCCCTTCATCTCTCGGCAGATTTGTGGTCTAACACTCCAAGATGTGCAGCATAACACGCTGGCAATCTGTCACTCTGCTGGCTCCTGCGAGCTCCAACAGCTTGCTGAGGAAATGCCGAGCCAAAACAGACTCCAGCGCGACCTGAGGGACGGGAGAAGCTCTGCCCGTCACAGCACGGGCGTTCCTGCTCCACTTGGCTCCTCCACCAGCCCAGCAGGCTGGGAGCAGCCCTGGGCTTTCCTGGTGGCTGTTGCAGCTTCCCATCTTAGCAGCTTTCCCCCCCTGCACTGCTGAGGTTGCCCACTGCGTTCTGTCCCCTCCCTGCAGGACCCGTTCCCCTGGCACGGTGGGTGCCCCTGAACCCCGAGACTGCAATTAGGGCTCCTCTCACTTGTGCCCATGGAATGGCTGTGGTTCCCTCTTGGACAGGCTCTGCATTCCCAGCACTGAAACCTCCAATCAGGCCGAAATGTTGGCTTGGAACAGCTTGAAAGGGGAATTTTGCAGCTCAGGAATTCCTGGGTTGGTTAGGCTTGGAAAGCTGGAGTGCTGGGGATGTCTCAGCACAGACTGCAGGGACATTTATTGCATCAGGGGCTGTTTCTTTAAGGGGGCTTCAGAGGCCACAGGGATCTGTGGGCATCAAAGGATGTGGTGCCAGTGTCTTGTCTCACCCTTTGAGTGCTCTCCAGTAAGAACGAGCACTTACAGTACTGACACTGCTGCTTAATCTGTACAGTTATAAAAAATGAACAAATGATTGAGGATATAAACCAGAAAAAAGAGCCAGATTCAGTGTAAGCCAAAATGCTGATGGAACAGTAGACAGATTCCTCTGCTCTGCAGCAGGGTGGGAGAAGGGGATACAGGGCCTCCTCTCAGGGTATTTACAGGAATTCAACCCACAGCAGCACTAAGTGATGGCCACTGCTGGGGGGGGAAGAAGAAGAAATGTGTTTTAACCCTATTTGCTTGTCTTTCTTGTGTTCAAATGCCTTCCATGAATATCTGAGCCAAGGGCAAGGATAGCCTTGGGACCTGCAGAACTTCAGCATGCGAGATGAGAGGATGACGAGATGAGACGTTTGTGGGAAGCAAATTTAAAATTCACAAATGGAAAAATGCCATTCCAGGGGAAGCCAGTGTCTCAGGAGCATCCAAGCAAGGAAGAGAGGTGGCACTGACTGACCGGCATGGTCCGGTTATTTGTTGATTGTAACAATTTTGGTTGTAAGCACAGATCCGGGAATGAGCTGTGAGTGACTGTGGGGCAAAGAGCAGCAGAAACCACATCCCCAAGAGGGAAGCAAACAGCAGGCAAACCCACCATCCGAGATGTGCCTTAAGGGATGCTCAGCCCTAATTTTGGGAGGGTTTAGGAAATGCACTGGCAGGCTCAGTCCAGGAAGTGAATCGCTGCTGTGGTGAGAGGTTTTCTGCTGCTTCCTTTCCAGGTTGTCTTTGTCCAAGGTGGCACCTGCCGTTCTCCCGGGTTGTCCTGGCAGAAAGTGGGGCCCGGAGCCTCCCAGCACCGAGCGCTGCGTCCCCGGTGTGTGAGCTGCGTTTGCCCTCTGCTGTCGGCTGATGAAACTGTTCCCTCTGCGTAATCCAAAACGGGAGCGGCAGGAACTGCAGGACCTGGAGAACCAGAACCGTTACCCCCGGACTGCAAACACTTGCACTTAAAGAAGAATCGTGACACTTAAAGAAGTGACACCCAGAAAGGGGTGAGAGTTCAGTGTACCTTTATTTTATATTCTCAAGCTTTTCTTTGTAATCACAAGTACCAGACACCTTTTTTTTTTGTCCCCTTTAGTTTTCATTTTTTTCCTGAATAACACCCAAAAATTAAGCCCCCTGAGACCAGGGGTTCAGGTGTGACTGAATCTCCATGCTGAGAGAGCAGGATGAAGGGATGGATGACCCCGCAGAGCAAGGTGTGAGCAGAGATGCCCCAAAACGGCAAGAACTGCTTTGCAATGAGGAAAGATGCCCTGGACTGAGGGTGGCTCTGGTTTCTCGCCCTGCTCTGGCATCCCAGAACTGCAGAGCTGCTCCCACCTGGGCCCCGGGCTGCTCCCTCTGCCCTCTCCTGCAGCCACCCAGCCCTGGCATTGCCAGGATGCCCGGGACGCCCTGGAAAGGACACAAGGGCCTGTCAAGAAATCTCTTGGCATCTTGCCACGTGTTTGCAAGTTGAGATCAGCACTCGGGCTCCTCTTGTTGCTGTTTGTTTTCTCCCTGCCTCCCAGCAGCCTCTCCCCGTGCTGTGGCCACCGTTGCCCCGCACTGAGGGGCTCAAACAAAGGTGTGGCCGTGGCTGGGGGGATCCCTCTGGGCTGGGGGGATTCCTCTGGATGTCCTCCCACTCCTGCCAGGACTCAGGGGCAGGGCAGGGACTGACCTGGAGGGTGCCCCTTCTGCGTTCCCAGCTGGCACCAGGGATCGATGCCCGTGGATGGCTCAGCCCGGGGAAGGAGCAGCAGCACATGGGATGTTGAGGGCTGAGCTCTTCCTCACCCCTCCCTTTGGAAGTGGCCACTGTAGGCAGACTGGAGATCATCTTTAAGTGCTTTTCCACAGCTCCCAAGTGGAGATTTTGTTCCATGCATGGCTGAGGCTTCACGAGGTAAGTGTTGAACTGGCAGTAGCAGGGGACACAGCAGGGAGGTGATTTTTCTGTCTCTCTGAGCACACAGTCCCTGCCTCAGGGGACTCCTGAGCTCCCAGGGCAGCTCTGTGATGGGCATCGACCCAGAGCAGGACTTTTCCCAGCTCTGCCATATCCCTGTCTCTCCTTAGGCTCCTTCACAAGGCTGAGAAAATTAATAGTAACAGGTAACATTTGCAAGCCCCACGGAAATGTAAATGCTGAGGGTCTTTATGGGCAGTCAGTAATTACAGATGAGAAAATTTATATATATATCTGTATATAGAGAGACATCCAAATTACCTAGGCTGTTCTCAAAGGGCACCAATGACTGGTCCTTTTGCATGGCTGTTTCAGACCTTGGGCATCAAGTAAGCAGAGCTGACAGATGGATAAGAGCTTTGCATCTGGAGATCCTCTAGCTGGTATGTGGGCAATGAGCTTCCATTTTCCTCTGCACAGTCATTGGGTAACTTCATTTTAAACCAAGGATTTATCACTTATGGAAAGTGCTTAGTTTAGTCTGGATTCAACAACTTCAGGCACAGTGGAGCAAATATGTTGAAGTTTGGAGAGGGTTGGACAGTTTTGTGACTGCTCAGAGCACACACTGAAATATAAAAGCAGCCAGACCCAGTTTTTCAAGAGCAGTTCTGTGTTTCACCCACCAGCTCTGTGCTCTATTCTGGCTTGGGCATTTTAGCAGTGAAGGTGCTAAAAGATGTTTTTCATCTCTTGACTCCCCAGATGTGGCCTTGGCTTGGAAGAGTCTCCAGGAGGCCAAAGCAGTGGTAGGTGTGGATGAGGGAACATTTGCTGTCACGTTCCTTTATCACTTTCTCTCAGCTACCTGAGCATCATCTCCACAGGGTTTAATTCCATGGAAATATTTTCATTGAAACATGTAAACATGCCCTTTGTATTATTCTTTTCCAATGAACATATCACCTCTTTAATCCTTTGCTAAATATGATTATTAATATATTAATAAATGACAACAAGAGGATAAAGGGAAAAGCAAGGAATCCTTCCCAGTTTCACAACACTCATCAAAATTAATGACAAGAACAGACAAAGCTTGGCCTTGCTTGTGTTTGAAGTCCTGAGCAGGATAATAGTGTCACTGTGTTATAGCTGACACTCACTGAGCTGGGGCATCCCCTGAATTCTCCCTGTCTTATCCTCTTAATAGGGAACGTGACAATGCTGATATCAGGCACATCAGGACTGGTATTGCTTGGATAAATCATCACATTATCCCAATTTGTGGGGTGTTGCTGACTCCGGGATCCCACTGTTGGGAGTTGCTCTTGGCTGGGTTTGCTTCCAGCTTAAGCTGGTTTTAAAAGCATCAGTAAAAATCTGCAGCACAAATACAGGCAAAGTGTAAATAAAGAGAGAGGTGATTTCATCTCTTATCTTCCCAGTCGACTGCATTCTTTCCAACTGTAGGAAATGCCACATGGAACATGCTCAGACACGCCACTATTTACCCAGTAACTAGGAGCTGCAAAATTAATCAGAGAGGCAGTGTGTGCCAGCAAAGAGCTACCAGGGAAAAAAAAAAACCCACCCAAAAACATATGTCACCCTTCAAAAGAAAAATCTGCCTTTTCACAGCTACAAAGGATTGAAAACAAATTTTATCATCAAACGTGGAGTGGTGCCAAATCTCAGGCAGCCAGAAGAAAGCTTTGGCACCAAAAGAGCTTTGGTGAGTTCTGAATTACTGGGGAACTGCTGAGATGGGACTGCTTTGGTGCTGGAGGGAAGGGAAGGTGACAGGAGATAGTGGGAAACCCTTTTTGTTGAGGGAAGTGTCTATTTTTATCAGCTTTCTGTGATGTTTCCAGCAAGAAGTGGTGGGGGAATAATCCCCAGTAAAACGAGCTGTTTGAATCGAATGGTTAAGGAACATTTCTGCCACTGACATGGTTTTGCTGTGCTGTAGATGGTGAGAGGAACAAAGATGAGACAGCTCTGAGTGAGAAAAAGAGCACTGAGATTCCTCCAGCTCACAGGTAAATAATAACCTGAATGTACAGCACGTGGGGGAGGAAGAGATGAAGCCACACATAAAGGGATTTAAAATTCTGGGATGCAGGACTTCAGAAAAAATTTAGCACCTCATTGTTTATTAGGGGGAAAAAAAAAGAAAAAGGAACAAAAAGTCACCAATTTCACCCTCAGAAATGCTGACAAGGCACTTGAGGAAGGCAAATCCTGACATCAGCTCTCTGTGTTTGTCAGCCCATGCTCATAATTACTCTTATCAGACCATGATTTGCATTGTACTTTCCTAAGATTATCTTAGTTTGCCAAACTTCTGGTAAGTGGCAAAATGCTGATCAGAGCATGTTGAAGAATCTCAGCGGTCCCTTATATCAGTGTAGTGACCAATTTAATAAATCATCCCACGTGTTCACTCTTGGTTTGCTTTTTTCCTAAGAAAGGGAAGCCCTGCTGCTCTCTGTGCCTGGGCACAGACCTGTGTGCCTGAGAGCCCTGCTGTGATCTGTGCCCCTTCCAGGATGATCCCTCTGTCCCTCGGGGCAGCCTCACACTCAGCACCTTCCAGCCCTTCCAGGAACTGGGCTGTGGATGGCGCAGGCACGGCTGGGACGTGGACTCCTGCAAAGAGCCTGTGCAGACCAAGAAGGGACGATTTCGGGGATCAGGCAGACTCAAGGGGTCACAGAGTACAGCAGGATAAACCTCCCTGCTCCCTGCATCACCCACCTGACCCCCCTGCAGGGAGCAGGTCATTCTTGGCTGACCCTTGGGGCACCTGCAGCAACGCTCCCATGGACCACCTTTCAGCAGCCAGCAAGGCCAGTGATCAGAAGCTGGAAGAGCTGTGGAAAAAATCACCCCCAAACAAGTTGGAGCAACTCAAGAAGAGGATCCAGGAGCAGAAGCAAAGGCAGCAAGCAGCACCTTGGGAGCAGAAGCCCCTGATTTCTGCTAAAGAGCCACTGCCAAAAAGAGCCGTGAAGAGAAAGGTGTGCAGGGTGGGCTCTGCTCCTCCTGCTCCAGCTTACAGAGGTCAGTGGTTGTCTGGAATCTGTGGAGAAAAGGCTAGAACTGTGTGTTACCCAGCAGAGCTTTGGCACAGCTGAATAACTTCCCACACAGCTTCCACCCCACCTTTGGTCCATGCTGGGCATCACCCATATTCTTATGATAAATCCATTGATTTCTGCAGCTGCAAACTTCCCTGGGCTGTCCATCCCACCCTGCTCCCTCCTGAGGTCACTTCTCCACTGGATTTACTTCCCCCAGTGTGCACAAATTCATTAATTTCTTTCCACAGAATAGCAAAGGATTTGCTGCAAATCTGTTTTCTGCCCTTTCCTCCCACATCCTTTTGCCCCATGTAAAGCATGGAATGGGACACAGCAGTGCAGAGGCATCCCAGGTATTTAAAGCAGGAATTGTGCAGTTCAGAGGCATTACAGGGGATTTGACAGTCCATTCAATGGAACTACTGTGGATCTGAAAGGAAATATTATTAGACTGTCCTTATCCTGCTTTGCTGCTAAATTTGGGGCTGAAGAACCATCCATGCACAGCTGTCACCTTAGTTTAGTGTGGTTTAAGATCTCAGGTTGCTGGGAGCAAGGCAAGGAGTTGGGAGCAAGGCCTGCCTGGGGAGAACCCAGCAAGCTCCTCAGCCAAGGGGGATTACTGAGGGAATATGGGACTAGAGGAGAGGAGCTGAAAAGCTGCACATAATAAATCTTATTGCTGTAATAGCATTAGCGTTAATTCATCGGGCGCTGGCGTCCCTGTCACACCCCACCAGCTTCCACAGGCATTTCCCTCGGATTTGCTGCCTGTCGCCTCTTACAGTGGTGTTTGGAGGTGTGTTTTGGTGCTCCCCAGGGGTCTGTGGGAGCCACACATCCCTGCTGCCACCTCCCCTTTCCAGCTGCCTCAAGCAGTGCTTTCCGTGGTGTTACCCCCGCTAATACCCAGGAGCCAAAGCCACAATCCGGGCTGAGCCTCTCTGGAACATCCCAAGGGAAGGCTACTTTTGTTTTTAACCCAGATCATTTTATGTAACCGAGCCAGGGAACTGCCAGGCAAACTCTTCAACCTGCAGAACAGAGGCAGCCCCGAGGCTGAGGTTTAACAGCTCCAGACACTCCGTTCTGATGCATCTTGTTCAGTTTGTCTCCCTGTCCTCTACCACGGAGAAAAGTGTGTCACAGCTATTTGTGACATAATCCCTGTGTCAGACACCTGCAGTCCAGCCCAGGGAGCCACTCCTGCCTTTCCCACATCCATGAGCTCAGTGCTGTTGGGTACCAGCATCTGCACAGCTCCTGGTGGCCTAACAGGTCTCAGTACCCTGTTTGTCTTGCGTTTAGTGCTCTGAACCCGAGCTCTGCTCTCTCCTTGCCTGCTGAAGGGCACAGAATACCAGGTGGAGAAGCATTAATCATCCCTGGACAAGGAAGGGGCTATAAAAAAATCAACTCCAAGAGTCCTGCTTGTTGGGTGACCAGTTTCATTAGAAAGACTCCTTGCTTTTGCATTCCAAGGGAATGGGACTGGGCTTGGTTTGCTGGGTTCAGCAGTCGTGTCTGAAGTTTGGTTTTAGCTGCACACTAATTCTTTTCTGTGTTTTATTTTCCCCCTCCTGATTAAAGACCAAAGAGAGAGAAGCTCAGCACGGAGAATCCAAACAGAAAACCAGAGGCAGCCTCCACCCAAATCCTCCGTTCTGGGGAGAGCAGCAGCAGGGAAAGGTAGGGATGGCAATCATGAGAAATTACATGCTCTGATGGACTAAACTACTGGAAGTTGGTGGCACCTGGAAACTCACCTGCCAAAATCTACAGCTGGTTGTTAAATAACACCAAATCCCAGCCAAAGACCCAGCAGGTTATACCGAGCAGGTACCAAAGAAAACCAGTGCCACCAAAGGCAGGGATGTTTTGCCAAACAAGGGAGTGCAAAGTCAGATGAATTGTCCAGAACTAAACTGCAAAGTCGACAGCGGGAACAGGAGTCTGAGTTGATAGTTCTCAGTTTTATTTGGGAGGCCTGAGGGCAGATTGGAATGCCTGGTGTCATTTTACCCACTGAAGGCTGTTACTTTGCATTCAGATTTTGTAGGGGACGAGGCAAAGGGTGGGAGTGCCGTGGGTTGTTCTTCACACCAGCCGAGTTACCAGGGAAGTAACTTGTGTGAAACAGAAAAAAAAAAGCCAAGCAGATGGAATTATGAGCAGAGTTACATCCTGTGCTCTACTACCTAAGTATGATTTAAAATGCATGAAATATGTAATAATTTCCTTCTCTCTCTCTTTTTTTTTTTTTGTTTTGTTTTAATGGATTGTTTGAAAAATGGCTTGATCTTCCTCTGAGAGTGGGTCATAATAAGCCCATGCCACGTGAAGCATTCATCATTGTAACTGCCAGTGTCACGGTGTCTTTATTGGCTATTAGTTTCTGTCAGGGAAAGAGCCAAGGCAGGGCTACAAAGAGATGAATGAGGGGCAGGGGTCAGAGCCAGAGTACTCAGGAATTTGATGAATTAGAAATTTGCTGTAGTTAACAAAAAATTAAGTCACAGCAGCTATAAAATATTCATCTGTTCATAGGTAGGGGGGGAAAAAAACCCACCCGGGAGAATATTTAAATCAAAAGATTTTCTTCTATCAACTGTTCTCATCAGAAATGCAGCTGCTCTCGAACTTCAGCATCATAGTTTCTGTAGTTAATGAACACTGTGCAGATTAAAAAGAGATTTAATTGAAATCAAACGCCATGGTGAAGCATTTTTTAGGCCTACATATTGGTTTGGTGCATTCAGAGAGACTAAGGGTGTACAAAATAAACTCATCCTTAATTTTTAGTACCGCTAAACTGGGAAACAAAGTGACCCAGCAGGTGTTTCCTGAAAGACGTGGATGGATCCCAGCCCTCCTGAGCCCAACAGACTCTGGAGAAGTGTTTGCAATAAATACATAATTGTCCCAGTATTGGCATGCTGTGAATGCAACCTGAAATTATGAAGTAAAACAGTGATAAATGTTGTCTATTATGTGACACCGCCTATTAAGCAGCAGTAATTTGTTTGGGCCTCGTTCTGCACCGTTTATATCTGCATTATACATCGTCCCTCCGTCCTGCGTCGTTCATTGATCCCTCCACACCACATCCTGCTGAGTCTCACCACTTTTTAAAAATGAATTAGTTTGCTCCGGTGAGGTTGAAGTCATCGCAAGGAAAAGCATAATTTTGTTTTCCCCTTCCCTCCAGTTCTCAAATGTGCTGGTACCCAGCAAAGACTTTTTAGTAGAGTTACAATTCTCTTTCCAAGAACATCTGAGGGGCTAATCATAGAATAATCATAGAATAATTCAATACCAATGCTGTGTTGCAGGTGTGAAGCTGCCTGGTGCTTCTGCGTGGAGAGAAGGTCAGAAGTTGGCCAGAAAGTTGCTTGGTCCACCCCCTGAATTTCCAAATCTGAGGAGCACAGCTGAAGAGCAGAGCACAGCAAACAGCCTCGGTACAGCTGCCCCCCTGCAACACTGGGTGTCTTGGCACACACACAAAAAAAGTGATTTATCAAACCTAAGTGACAAAAAAAGGTTTCCAGGCCCTTCTGAGCACCTTCCTCTTGCAATGGCAATTGGGCACTTCAAATTTCACTTTTGTTTTCTCCCTCGAATGTCCCAGTTTTTACAACAGGTGTACAAGTCCGGCCTGCACCTGAAAATAGTGCTCAGACCTAGAGCAGGTTTTGAGGTGCACACGGTGATACAGGGATTGATACTCTCTGGAGTAACAACACCACTCTTGTTTCCAAATGTTTCCCACAGAAGTTGGTAGAGGATTTGTGGCCGTGCCAGCGATGGAAAACGGCTGGAGAGACAAGGGAAATGGAGCTGTGGGGAAGAGCCCTGCATTCCAAAGCCGCCAGGCTGTGGAAAGGATCAGCACTGCACCAGCTGAGGATACCAACCAACCACTCTGGAACCTCCACTTGCCAAGCCAGTCCCATGATGAAAACAGGCATACCAGGCTCCCAAAAGATACTGCAAAAGGAAAGGGACCCCTAGGGACTGTTCTGCAGGAATCCCTAGGGATCCATTCTCCTTCAGCTGGACCTTGGGGCACAACTCCCTCTGCCTTCTGTGGGGAAAGGACACAACTTTCATTAATGAAAGATGGAGCCAAGCCCAGCTCCTCAGAAAGCTGCAGCAGAGGGAGAAGTACATCTCCTCAGAGCCAGAAAGGCTTGGGCAACCCTGCACAGAGAGGGTCTGGGAAAGAAAACCTTAAGCACCCTTCAAAGAGGAGGGTAAACCTTAAAAAACCTCACCCCTACAGCCCTGAGATCGTTCGGGAATTTATGCAGCGCAAAAAGGAAGAAAGAAAGAAAAAACTCCTTGAAGAGAAAAAGTCCTTGGTGGAGGCTGCAGAGGTGAGGAAGAAGAGGTTGCAAGAGGTGTACAGGAAACAGAAAGAAGCTGTTGGGAAGAAATCACATCCTATAAAGGTGCACAAGTTCACTGGGAAAACAGCTCCTGCAAAAGGAGATCCTCAGTGCGAATTTGAGCAGGTAAGTCGTCCAGGAGTGGCACCTTGAAACCCCTCCAATCTTGATCAGCACCAGGTAGGACACGGAACACTTCATTTAAATGCTTTGAAGCATCAGGGAGAAAAAGTTTTACCTAGAGAAATGGAGCAATTAATTTGTAATTATGGCAAGAACTGCTGGGCTCGTTAGTAGGGCTGAAACCCTCGACTTCAGGGCCAAAACCCTGGAAATCTCCATTGCCTTGGGCTGAAAGAACAGGTTTGTTGTGTGGTATGAGCAGCTTGCCAGTTCCATGAGTCAATTATTAGGTGGAACAAAAGCCAAATATTACTGATGGCTCTTCTCTTTCAGGAGCAAACCAGTGGGGGAATCCTGGAGAGGAATTCCATGGCCTGGGAGGATGAAGCATCCCATCCTCTGTTACACAGAGATCACAGAGGCAGGTACTCAGACTTCAAAAGCATCCTAGAAAGCCTCTTTCTCAGAACGCACTGCAGATATATTTCTCCCTTTTTTTTTTTTTTTTAAATAGGAACCAACTTCTAGAAGCAGCTCAATCCCCTAAAAAAGGAGAGGCTTTAGCTCCTGCACCACCACTGGAATGGGAATGCTGCTTTCTCAGTCCTCTGAGATGTGAAGACTTGAGGGCCTGCTCTCCCCCAGTTCTGCATTCACCTCTGAGCTTTTCCCCTCCTCAGAAAGATGCAAAACCTTCCTCCAAGGGCTGGACTCCTGGTTTTTCTCCTCAGAGAAGCAAACAGGATCGAGTGAAAGCCATTCACAGTCTGTCCAAGGAGCTTGAAGAAAAGATTGACGTGGCAACCAAGAGGCTGAGTGGAGCAAACTGGGTTAGAGAATCTGCTGACAAAGCTTGGACACAGACACCTCTGGACCTTTACAATGAGCCTCCTTCTGTCCCAGAACCTGAGAGTTCTAGGAACAAGGAAGACAGCACACTGACTGTACAAATGCTCCTGGATGCTGTTGATCCTGATGTGCCACGTGTGTCATCCAACAGGGAATTTCATGGACTGGACAGGGTTAGACTTGTGGGCAGCACCGAGGGAGCAACAGCCCCGGACAGACAGAAGGAAATGCTCATTCCTTTGCCTGGTGGGAGTGCTGAGAGGGAGGAATTACCCTGGATCACTGACAGAGCAGGACAGAGGCACCTCAGCAATGGGGGAGCCCTGAGCAACACATTGCAAGGTAAATCATGGCATGATGCAACAGGGAGACTCAGGTGCCATTGCCCAGGTCTTTCAAAGCTACAAAGCAGTGGTTAATCCTCATCTCCCCTGGCCTATTGGAAGTGTTGTGTCTTGGGAGATCCCTGAGTGCTGGATCTTCTAGGCTTTACTTTCCTCTCCTCTCCTTTCAACTGTGAAACTACATCTCTTAATTCCCAAAAGTAGGAAAGGAATTATAAGCCTAAGTCCACAAACTCGGAAATCTGTGGAAGAGAAGAGCTGTATGGAAGTTAAGTGCTCACACGTAAGGAGGCAGCGAATAGATGCCAGAGCCTGGGCCGTTTCATTTCTACAAAGAGCACATTTATTAAATGGCTTCATTTGTCTTTTTAAAAGGTTTCCCTGTGAATAAGAGCCCCGAGGTGGACAGGAGCCTGTTGCATGAAAAGCCAATAACCAGCCCAGCCTCTCCAGCTCACAGATTCCTCTCCAGAAGGTAAACAAAGCTGGATGTATTATCCTCTGCTAAATGTGCCACATGCACGTAAAATAAACAGCACCAATTCAGCGCGGAGCAGACAGCTCTGTACTGCTTACCCAGAGATTGCCGGGAGGAAAGCTAAAAGAGGGAAAGCACCTATCTGGAGGGAGTTGGATCAATGAGGAAGGTGTGTTCCCCGGACCGATGGATCCCCCTCCGCTCCTGCCGTTCCTCCCTCGCTCCGCCGGGGGGCAGCGGCAGCCGCGGCGGGACGGGCCGAGGGTCCCCCCCGGGCACCCGGGGAAAGGTCCCCGAGCTCCGGGCGGGGACGAACGAGGGGTTCCATCACCGCCGTGCGACAAATCCGCTTCGAGCGGGTGAAAAATTCCGATTATTGAAGGTCTAAGGGCTGTGTGTCTGCTCGCAGGCAGCACAGGAGGCAGAGAGCGGGGATGGCTGAGGAAAATAGTTTTGGGAGTAGGAAGTTTAGAAAAATGGATTAGAGTTTTCAGCCTGCCTAATTAAATATTTAATGTAGATGGCAGTCGATAAAACCCCCTCTGCATTTAGCCTGTGTCTTAGAGGGCAAACATATATTTGTGTAACTGCCCATGGTTGGGTCATACCTGGTGACAGGAGGGACTCTGAAAGGATGTGTTAGTTCAGACACAATCACTACCCAAAAATTGCCCAGAGAGTTATTTTTCTGATTTTAGGCAACACCTGCAGGTGTCAGAGCATGCCCTGCCCAGCCATGGAGAAGGACAAAGCCAGAGCCCCCTGAGGGGCCACACATCTCTGCAGAAACGTCTTCCCTTAGACAGTAAATCCCCTGAGCCCTGAAGATTAAATATGACCTGGACAGGCATTACCAAAGAAAGGACATATGTGCAGCAAACTGGCCACGGCGCCCCAAACGTCCCGTTCTGAGGGAAGAACGAGGTGCTGTGAGATCCCGCCAGTCAGGGATGGGCTGGCTCTGCTCCTTGGACACTCTGCTGGAGCATGGAACCAGGCTGGCTGTGCCAACCTACCTGCAGAGAGCTCTAGTGGGGGAAAAAAAGAGCATGTTGTGGGGTTTTTTAAGTGAAGGCGGGATATTAAGCTCAGCATTCTTTTTAAGAAGATTGTTTACAGCTTTGCAGCGCAAAGTAAACACGAGGAAAATGAAAATTGGAGAGATAAGCCCAGACAGCTCAGCTTACCAAAGTTATGAACTGTAATTACTGGAATTACCAGGAATTAAACCCCTGTTCTTTGTGCACAACTACCGTGCTCACAAAGGTTGGGCTGATTTCTGCTCCGAGAGATCGGTTGCAAGGATTATGGAGCTGTTCTGTCACAGGAGATGGCAAATGTATAAAACATGAGCGCTGGGCACTCAGAGTGTGCAGTGGAGAGAGTCAGAGCTGCGCCTGCACCGCACCTTGGGGAGCACAGACCACCAGTGCTGGGCTCCATCGCTCTTGTCGTGCTTCTCTGCAACCCTAATTCACAGCAATGGCAGGGAGGGACAGAACCCCCTGGGCCCCGATGGGAACAACCCCCCAGCTGGAAGGGACAAGTGGAAAGAAGACAGATTGAGCTGATCTCCTGAACGATGCAATTACTGAGAAAGCAAAGCTCCCGTGTGTTCGAGCGGCCGAGGCAAAGAAAGTCCTCAGAGCAAAAAAAAAAAACCACCACCAATAAAACCTCTCCAACAATAAATCACAACCCTGTTGCAAGTGCTGCTCCAAAAGATGAGGAGAGCCACTTGCAGATAAAATATTGCTGTATTTAGAGATGAGAAGTGGAAAGTGTTGCTCTGTTGTGAACGGCTCCAGACTCATCTCCTTGTGGGCTGAGGGCTCCTCTGATGCAGCAGTGACAGTAAGGGGACAATACAAAGGCAAAACCACCCCATGTCTAACCCTTTCTTAGCTACTGGTAAAGTAGATAATACAAAGGTTCAGAGTAAAACCCTGGCTTTTGTCCTCAGCTTTTATTTCTATATAATCTATTGTCTAATTTTGCCCCTTTCCCAAAGCTTGCACGCTCACTCACGGGAAGGAAAAGAGGATGAGTCCTTTGGCACAAAGCAGCTGGCAGCACATGGCAGGGACGTGGTGAGGCTCCTGTCATCAAGTTGTTCCTGAACCTGATCCATTATCAACTGATTCCCACTGAGGGCACACAGATCAGATCAGATCAGATCAGACAGAAAGCCACGGGGTAAGGGAACACCAGTCACCTCAGCCACCTCAGTGCCTCAGTCAGCCCACTCACCAATGTGGCTGGGTTAGAAAATGTGATGGTAAAATCAGCTGAACTGGGTTCATGCTCAGCGTTACTACCGATGACAACAAGTTACGAATTCACAGTTGGCTCCAAGAGTTCATCTGAACAAAGCCACCTGTTAAAACTGACTCTTTGCCGGCCTCGTTCACAAACACAAAACATCCAGCGCCACAAACCCAGCGCTCTTGAGCACGACCTGCTCCACAGCCACTTCCAACAGCACGCTTTTCTGTTTACATGTTTAATTATAGCTCTGAAAACAGCGACTCGTGGCCATGCAAGAAATCCCACAGGTGCCTGTTGCCATCAGAAATGTTCCCATTTCATGCACGGCTGCCCTGCAGTCACGGGGGCGGCTGAGGGAGGTTTGTTGCTGATGCAAATGACTCCCTGATGGGAATTCTCCAAACTGCCAGGAAACATGTATGCAATTCCATCCTTACTTTGTTTCAGTTACCCTCTATAAGTGAACGATAAAATCATACCACTTTGGCCATAAATTTAGATCTGAAAGCGCTCTGGGCAGCCTCAGGGCTGAAACAGTGGGATCACAGCTCTGCCTCCTCCTGTGCACCAAATAACACTTTCTCTTTAGCTGGTGCAAACCCAAAGAGCCTCCTCTGGGAATTGTGCTGGTTTGTGCCCACTGCAGAGCTGGTTGTGTGTGGAGGACAAGTGTTGCTGGCCACTCCTGTGTAAAGCAAATACTTTCTACAGAATCTGCATTGACTTCCACTGGTGTCCTGCCCAGGATTTAGACCTTGGCATCAATCTCTCCAGACAGAAGTAGGCATTTTTCAAGAACCAAAAAAAAAAAAAAACAAACCAGTAACTAAAAAACTGTCAAAACACAAATGCAGAGGCAAAACTCAGCACATTTGCCCATTGAATATTAGAACTGCTTTTTTAAGAAATCCCTGTTTGCTCTTCTCTTTCTCTCTCATCCACCTTTGCTCCCACTTTCAGGAGGACACACCCAAGACGCGTTAGTGGAAGCTGTTCTAATCATTTTAGCAGTTTCTGGGTCATGAAAAACAAAGAAAAGCTTATTAACCAGAAAAATGAAATAAGATTTCCCTAAGCTGATTGCCCATAAAAAAAAAAAAAAAAGATTTCCACATTCATTTTTTTCTCTGTAAAACAGAAAACATCTGTCACCATTTCAGTGTCTCGGTGTCCCTGCATGCGTTTCAGCCCCGGCTTGATCAATAAATGCTCCTTTTCACACCTTCTTTCCTAATCTTTTTAGTTAAGCTCAGATAGTTACAGACCAAACCAAAGTAAAACCAGTTAGCCGAGGTCTTTGTCTGCAGGACTTGGTGCTGGCATTGTTTTGAAATATTAAAATATATATATATATATCACTAGGAGATCTTAGCTGGGCCACAGCCACGCTCAGCACAAGTCCTAGAAACGCTGGAACAGAGCTCAGTACTTTGTGTTTCTAAACAGATTGCTTTGCCAAGGTTCAGATTGTGCAACCAAGTCCCAACAATGGCACAGACTGTACAATGCAACCCTCATAAATTAAGCTTCCAAACTGCAAGGCTGTTGTTTCTCTTTGCCACTAGGTTGAAAATATCCAGCCCTTTCAGAGCGGTAATCAGAGCAGGTAAAAATGAGTGTTGATAACTTTCCTGACGATAGCAAGGTACAAAAAAGAAGATGTTGTATGTTGGCAGGGAGGCTTTTGTTTCCATTTGACAAAATGTGGGAGTTTTGTTAAAATGAAAGAACTATTTTTCTTTAGTTCAAAAGGTTGCTTATAGACATGCACCATCTCCAAACCTTGGTAATTGTTGTTGTTACCTCGTCACAGCCCGCGGGGAGGACTCTCGGCGCAGGGGGATCACTATCGACGTGAGGCTCTTTCGAAAGTTCAGAACCGAGAGGAAAAGACCAACCAACCTCCTGGAGAGAGCCTGAGGATCCCAGACAGCCTGAGCTTCCAGCCCTCCGCTGCTCTGAGCACCGGAGCTGAGACCGATGGCTTTGAGCGGGACTTGGGTAAGGTGGCATCTCCTGGAGGGTCAGAGCAGGGTGGTCACTCAGTGCCCTCCCAAGGTGGTTCTTATGCTGTTGCAGTAGAATGAATATTCTATTCTCCTTCATTGCAAGAGAATTCTTCCTAATGGTCCTGGCTTGGGCTGAAAAAACTTCTGGGGTGATGGGGGATCTCAAAGAGATGGTTTGTATTCCACGTGTTGAAGGTGAAGAATGAATATATGAAAAAATGTCCCCTCAACGTTCATTTTACAGTTTAATGGATGAGATTTTTATTAAAATGGCATAAAATGCAACAGGAACTCTTTGCCTTTTCCATGCAGGGCTGTGCTGTCTCACAGGTGTGAGTTCAGCGGTGTCACCTCACTGTGGCAGCTACAGATAGTCCCTGATGGAACAAACCCCATTGACTCAGAGACATTTCCAGCACCTCACAACTTCATCCTAAGGTCTCCAGGAGCCTTACAATTAATTCTTCATAATTACCACATCAGAGCAGTGTGGAATATTGTCCTGCCTGTACAGCAGGAGGCATCAAGGCACAGGACATGGACAGGGGTTCCAAAGGGTGCAGGGTGAGTGATCTGCTGCAGGGAGCTCAGGGCCCTGCGGGGTGGAGGGCATTGCTGCTTCTGCCCAGAGCAAAGGTTTGCATAGAAACAAGGGAAAGTTTGTGGCTGAAAGGGTTAAATGACAAACAGTAGCGTGCAGACCAAGAGATCCCTGCCTGCTTCCACCAAACAGGAGCAGATGGTGCATTGTTTTAAGGGCTTTTCCGAGACAAAGGAACAAGATCAGATAACCTTTCCTCAAAGAGGGTACTTACAAAAAGCCTTTGCTCTTATTAAGGATTCTTCATTGTTTTCCCCACAACATTTTATACATAATATTGGATTTTGAGGTGGTGGAGAAGCCAGCATTGTTTACTGTGCTTCTCCCTACCCCCCAAGGGACTAAGAGGGCATCCTCGGGGGTTGGACAGCGAGTCTGTTGTCTGAAGTGTTTACCATAAGAGAAAGACAATGTATTTATTTACTATTGATAAGTAAGGGCCTGGCCCGACAAGAAGATCCTGCCATCCACCACTGGCCACAGGAACAACAGGAACTGCTGCCTGGTGTCTGTGCCAGGAGCAACCTCCACCTTCCCTGAGCATCTGCAGGAGCTGCCAGCCCGAGGCCGGGCTGTAAAGCAGCACCCCCAGCACTGCAGATGAGGAACTGTCAACGCTGGGGACAATGTGCCTGTGAAATATGGGTCACAAGTGGGGCTGGTCACCACCCTCAGCAGGAACGGGGCATTCAGGCACGGGGCCACATTGTCTGCTCTGAGGCATCGCCCCAGCAGTTGGTTCTGGGCTGTCACAGAGCGCAGAATTCACCCTGCACGTGCAGCATAATGAGGTGTAATTGCCCAACTGCTGCCAAACAAACATGTTTACCTTTAAAGGGTACTTGCATGGCCTAATCTCGACCTGCTATGCCAGAGGGGTGAAGAATTTTCTGCAGTGAAAAATACTTGGCAAAATTACACATTTCATCTTCAAACCTCATCAAGCACAGAACAAGAAGCAGATATTCACAAAATGTTTGTAACTATTTGCTACCTGCAGTAAGACTAAACTTGCCCTGAACTGTTGAATTTCCTTTTTAAACACAGCCAGTGTAAGACCCAGAATTACAAATCCTGTAAGCACGTGCTGTGGTGAACAAAAATAGTCTCCACAGATAGCACTGGAAAGTATTTCACCTCAGTTTAGGCACAACACTGGGTATAACCAAGTGAGCTGATAAGGAAGTGGTTTATATATTACACCACTATATAAAATCTTTCCATTATTCCTGCCAGAACACCAGGTCTCTTCCATGGGGAGCTGAGGAGATGAGCTACACTTTCCTTGATACTTCAGCACATCCCCTGAATAAAGTTGACAGTACCCAGTTCTCTAAATGAGCCAGAAATCTCATTGCATCAGACCAGACTTTTTTCTTTCTTCTTCTTTTTTTTTTTTAATCTTTGAGACATAACAAAGTTTAAGCCAAAATTAACGGTTAAAAAAGTGTTTTCTGTATTTTGAAGCTTAAGCCTGGCTACTGCTTTACAGTAGTTTGCATTGGGAAAGGAAATGGAATGTTTCCATTACTCTTAAAACGCAGAATTTTAACCTGCATTAGAAGGAGAATATTCAGTGTAACATCTTTCCCCTAAACTGCTGATTGACATATTTTCTCGTATCGCTAGAGGGAGCTGCCTTCTTGCTTCTAGCAGAGGGAGAAGTAATGAAATCGGTGGAATCAGCACAGAAGTGTATCAGCATGGTTTCAGCTAATTGTGCCCTGATTGATAGTGCTGAGCTAAGGCAGCTCTTCCCGTTCCCTTCCAAATCCTGCCCTGTGCTCTGTATTTTCCAAAGCTTCAGTGAGCTCCATCCTCAGCCTGCAAACCCCCCTGAAGTGTCTGCAACGGTGGGGTCGTGACTCGAGGGAATTTGGCAGAACTGATGAGGAACAGGAGCACCATTCCCTGGAAATTCGGGCTGGCGGTTGGCTCCAGGCTCTCCTGCCATCCCGCAGCAGGAGCTGCTGCTCTGCACGAGGGGCAGCAGCAGGGGGAGGTGCTGCCATGTGCTGCAACATCTGGCTGGGAGCTGAACTCAGGCCAACCCTCCACACCAGAGGATTTAGACACAAACACAGAGTATGTGGAGGGCAGGAGTAGCAAAGGCCACGTTAATCCCCTTGTTTAGTAAGCAGCTCCTCTTTGGTGACAAGTGGGTACCAGATGTATTTACAGAGGGGAGAAGAACCTGGAAGTGCACACTCTGCCAGGCCCTCCAGAGTGCAGATCAGCACACTGATTTTCCTGAGTGAACAGGCACAGCCTGCAGGTGGAGAGTCTCTTGCTCAGGGGTTGCTCTTGGCTCACAGGTCATGCTGAAGGAGGGCCAAACAGTCTGTGCTGGGTTTATCTCAGCTGGGATCAGGAGTCACCAAGCCTCTTTCTGCATCTCCATTTCCCTGCCATCACCCCATCTCTGTTCCTGCACGTTAACAGAGTGCTGGAATGCCTGGGTGCTGCTTCACCCACCTCTCTTACCTGAGCAACACCTTGAAATGATAAAGCAATTGAGCCAACACAGTAATTTTGGAGATGGGAAAGGATTACCCAAAAAGGGGGAAAATTGGTCAATTCTTTCTGGATCTGCTGCTCCACTCCACAGGAATATTTCAGGACACTTTGTACCCCATATGCAATAATACAGTCAAAGTTGTGCTCGTGCTAAAGTTGCAAGTCTGTATTTTTGTAATAGCTGGGTTGGTCTGATTGCTGACATGGGCAGAAAGAGGAAAAGCTGTCCTTGAGTAAAGCAGCAGTAAATGCTTCTGCCTTGCTTCAAGTGATTAGAAAAATGAGACTTTTAGCCTGGCTTTTTTAATTATATGTCAGGGAGATTCTACAGGGCTTTACTGAGATTCTGCAGGTGCAGCGGAAAGTGATTTAATAAATAGCATTTTTTTTTTCCCAAGGCTGAGTGTTTGCACGTTGGAGCTATCTGGGGAGGCAGTAAAATGCCATTCATCACCACAGAAAAGGATGGGAAGTTTAGCCAGATGGTATTTTCTTTAATGCAGGATGTTGCAACACAAGAAATGCATCTGGAAATAGCCACAATTAGGAAAATTATGTTCCTAAGCAGTGAAAACAGATCAAACTTTTTAATCACTCTGAGATCAATACCACCAGTCAGGCTTTGAGCAGAACAACAATAGCATTGTTCAGCTTGAGGCACAAATTAGAAATATTTGCCAGGTTTTAAACTATATCCCTATAGGTGATCATACTTCCAAGTGGCCCAGATATTAGTTTAAAAAGCTACTCAAACAACTTAGCATCAATAAATTTAGCTTGTAATTTCTTTTTGATAAAATGACCTTATTTGTCCGAACTATCACAAGTATTGAAGGAGCTTTTGAGAGTGGTGAGTGTTCTGTTTACCTGCTGAAGATCTGTTCACTTTTCTTTTTTTTCCTATTGTGCTACTTCAAAATTTCCCTGTAGTAACAACAGCTCTTTCACCCACTCAGTTTTCCTAAATATGCCATTTCACAAAATCATCTCTAGCAGCTATCAGCATTAAAGAGTCTGAATCAGTCCTCAGAATCAGAAGGATTGGCTAAAACCAAAAATGCTTTTAAGAGCATGAACTCTCCCTTTGGCATGTGATTTCTGGGTAATTCAGTGTGATTTTGCCTTTTCCAAGCACCTTCCAAACCCAGGAAATGCCCATTACCGAAATAAAGATGAGATTTTCACCCAGTCCCTCGATTCTGAAAAGGAGGGGGTGAAGAAAAGCCTCCCACAACACCACTGGAAGTGGTAAATGAAATGTGCAGTCAGGCTGTTTATAAAAACAGAGCAGCAGTCTGATAGAAAATCTGCTGGAAGATTTAATATTTTATTTCACTCACACCCACATAAACACAAGCCCCATCCTGTCATGCAAACAATCCCACATCTCTGCTCCTCCTGTGTTAAAGATCCTTCAGGATTTAAAGCAAAAACAAACCCTGCATGTTGTGGGTTTGTCCTGCAGTGTGGGGCGATTTGGATTGAGATTTTATCTCAGGTTTCCAAGTCAAACCTATTTCTATTTATGAGCCCCACTTCAATTCATTTCTGGCTCTGGTTGCTGTGACAGTGGCACAGCACAGAGTAAACACCAGCCCTGTTTGCATAAGCTGAGCAATTCATCTGAGGAGCTCAAAGCAGCCAAGAACGTATCTCTGGCAAACATGACATCACCTGCAGTGTCCAGGACAGGCAGGGGAGTTACAACAAGGAAGGAGCAGGGAAATAGGTGCCCCTGGAACAAGAGGGAAAACAGCTCCACTTAAAAATGAAATTTATTTGCCGAGGTTTTTGTCTCCATGTGACAGGAGAGGAACCAGCCTGCACACATGGAGGGGACACGAGGGACGCAGCTCAAGTTCCAGAGGGAATTACCTGTTGGGAAGCTTTTCTTTTGTACCTGGTGGCTCTGATCCTGTTGGTGCAGCAAAGGAGCAGTGGGACCAAGAGTGGCAATAACCCACACTCTGGAATTCAGGCACAGAACAGGAATTGTTCCCCAGTCCTTCTCTTTCCTGGCACACACCCTCAGGTTCTACCCCTTCCCAAAATTTGCAAGGACTTTATGCTCACAGATTTTTTTGACAGGATGTAGGTAGTGACATTTTCCTTCTACAGTTAAGGCAGAAGAAGTAAATGTATGCAGAGAAGTTATTTCAGGAATAAAGACAGATGTCAGATTTGGGACACTTCCAAAAATAGGCCCAGGGAGGATTCAAAAGGAAAATGCAGTAGGAACAATGTACACATTCCCCTTCTGATGATCCCTTGTTTAGGTATCTGGACTCAGACATGTTTGGGAAGCACAGTCAGGTCATGCAGCAGAGAAAGCTGAGGAACAGATGCCCTGGAACTCTGTTGGAAATACTTTGGTGCTGTCAGACTCTTTCTGAGGTGTACTGGCCTCAGTGGGGAGCCAGCAAGTCAGCCCTGCTGGGAGAACACTCCATAAATGCTTAGATCCCAAAGGACTTTGACAGTGTAGAAACACACCGCCAGGGCAGCAACCAAAATCTGAAGGAATCTGGTTCCAGTGCCTCTGGTTAACTCTGATATTTCTCCAGCTGGCACCCATTAAATGAAGAACAGGTTCTTTTAATTAAATGGTGACTGTTACCATCTATTTCCTAAACTCCTGCAGGTGAGGGAGGCCGTAGCTACAGGGAGCTGGAAGACAAACACAGGAGCCACCTGGACATTTTGAGACAAACTTCCCTACTTCTGGCTCACAAACTGAAGGTCAGTGAAGGTGCTGCTGTCCCTGGATTCAGGTGTGCTTAGGTGATAGTCAGTTGGTATCAGCTGATCTGCATCAGGTTTCTAAACCCCCACAGAGCTATAAAGGAGAGGTACCAGCCTTTATTTGCTGTTTGGAGGTCCTGCTGTAGCTCTGGGGGGTAAGAACAGGTTGCTGTGCTGTAACCAAAGTGGTGTTTGTCCCGCCCTTCTCTTGGAGTTGGCTGCCCTTTGCCCCCAGCTCTGAGGTGCTGTGTCATCCCGTTAAAAACGTCATTTATGGTGTGTCATTTCCTAACACAGATCCATCAGCTCCAGCAGAAAGAGCAGCTTATGGTGCTGAGGGAGAAAGCAAAGCAAGAGCTTCAGGAAAGCCAGAGGTTTTTGAGTGCCTTGCTGCAGCACAGCTCTGAGGTAAGTTATCATTTCATGTCCTGGCTTAACACTTCTAGGTTCAGCAAAATGTTCCTCCAATCCCCACTGGGTTTTATTCTCACTTAGAGTCACTTAATTGGAAGAGGTTTTTTAACTGACTAAAAGCTGTAGATCAGGGTAACTTTCTGGAAGTGCCCAGGTCTCTCAGGTGACAGAGTCCCTTAGACTGTCACTTGGAGTGTTGAGCTGAAATCACTGAGGTACTGCAGCTTTTGGTGTCTATGGCTGGTTTTGTTGTAAAATCAAGAGAAGGTTTTAAGTCCTCAAGAGATAATTACAGTGATGCTTGCTCAGACACGAGAGACTAGTGAGATGCTAATACTGACCAAAAAGTGTCCTCTGAATTATCCTTTGCCTTATCTACAACGAGGTGCTTTCCCAAGAAGACGAAGGAAGAAGATTTAGAAGTTGTGCCTTTCACAAAGATGAGGGAGGTCTGTGGATAATTTCTGTGTGTGCAGGAGTGCAGGAGCTCCAGAGGCAGTGATCCTCCTGTGTCAGGACTGTACCACACACAGCAAACACGGAGAGGACACCAGCTGGAAGGTGACCACGCTGCCGGCAGGTACAGGAGGCAGGATGCAGGGAGGCGTTTGATGATTTGGCCTGTGGTTTGACTCCGTGAACAACTTAGGGCACTAAAGCAAGTGCAATACAGTCATTTTACTCTGATTTACGCCCAAATCATAATATTAACACCTTCCAATCTAGGGGGAGATGCTGCATTTTTAAAAGGTAGAAGGCCCTTTGAAACCTGCGGGACAAAATAGTTTTCCTCATTTTGCATTCCCCCTCATTTTGCATTACCCTCATATACCCTGGTGGGAATGAGAATATTGTATGTGCACATTTTTTTATGTTCATTTAAAGTGGCATAAAGACCTGAGAATTGCTTCTAGGATCTTATGGATGCAATTACCAGAAAGGCACCTTTGCACAGGTAAAACTTTCAACATCACATAAAAATGAGCAGCATTCTGGTTTGAAAAATATTCAGTTTCCACAGAGCCTTAGCTATGAAAGGTAAGAACTGAAATAGTATCTCTGACTGCAATAAGGAAATATTGCCTTTCTTTCTCACCTTCAGTAATCAAGAGATGTGTTCACTGAAACAACCTGCACTGAAGAGAGAAAGAGTTCACACTTCAGTGCCTCCCAAAATAGTGGGAGAAAGAAAACCTCTGGGAGGAAGAGGTTCATGTTGCTCAGTGCTGCAAGAAGGTAAGGGCTGAGTTGAAGGATTTGGTGGTACAGGGAAAACAACACTTTCTAATAAAGCATTAGAAACAGTGAAGCATCCACAGATTGGGACATGTAATCACAGGATAGCTTGGGTTGGAGGGACCTTAAAGATCATCTTATCCTAACCCCTGCCATGGACAGGGACACATTCCCCTAGACCAGGCTGATGAAAGGCCCATCCAGCCTGTCTGGAACAAAATTCGATAACTGACTTCAAAAATTTTGATGTAAATACTTATATTCATTATCCATATCTAAACCATAGCGATCTCCCTTTGTACTCCGGACCTTTCTACGGGGAGCTGGGAGTTAATTAATCTATTGATGGGCCCCTTTTTCCTTTTTACCTGTTTACCATGACTGCACTTAAAAGTGAGCTTAGTGTTCATACCTTGCTCCTGGGAGTGAACAGCCGTGGGGTGGCTCCTCTGGCTCCTGCTGAGGGCAGTGCACGGGCCTGGCTTCCAAGTCTTTGCGAAGGCACCTTGAATTCAGGAACGGATGTTAACTTGTACCGTGGGAGTTGGGGTTTTTTGGGTCTCTCTTTTTCCTTCTGTTACAGATATTTTATTTATAGTGACATCAGTTCCTTTCCTTAGGATCCCTGCCAGCAGATCGGGGGGAGCCGCTGCACAGCCATCAAGCCGTGAACGTGTTGTCACCTCTGGTGGATCTGCCCCATGGGGAGTCCTGTGCAGGGGACAACTCTGGAGAGAGCAGTGACAGCCAGGTAAGGCCAGCTCTGGGAACACTCTGAGGGGGGGTTTTCCTCTGAATTTGGGGTGTTTTTTGGCTTTTAGTCCCTCTATCAGTGACTCTGATGCTCTGCTCTGTCCCTAGTGGAGCGCGGCCATTCCGCTCCACGGAGGCTCCAGCACGTTCTGCCGCCTCAGCCTGGCCCTGGCGCAGCAGTGCCTGAGGGGAGAGGAGCTGCGGGCTCGACACCAGGCCACCCTCCTCCAGCTCCGCAAAAAGGCTCTGAGGGAGAAAGCCAGGGCCGAGCTGGCCTGGCTGGGCCACCAGAGACGGTGAGGGGCAACAATGGGCAGGACGCCAAACCCACCATGGCGGGGACAGGGCCCTCAGCACCAGAGACCTGCTTGGCCAGGACTGCTTTACTCCCTTTTCTTCCTTTCAGGGAAAGAGAACAAATATAAAATCCTTCTCTCAGAAAGCAAGCATGGGTATAGAAGGGGAAGAGGAGAGGAGGCTGCATGGTTTTAGTCTCTCCAGAGCAGAGCTGAGCTTCCGACTGCAGCCTCCTTTGGGGTGGGGTGAGGAGCCCTCAGGGATGGTGAGGGGTGTCCCTCAGTGCTGACCAGGATGAGGAGCCCTTAGGGATGGTGAGGGTGTCCCTCAAAACTGACCAGGATGAGGAGCCCTCAGGGATGGTGAGGGGTGTCCCTCAAAACTGACCAGGATGAGGAGCCCTCAGGGATGGTGAGGGGTGTCCCTCAAAACTGACCAGGATGAAGAGCCCTCAGGGATGGTGAGGGGTGTCCCTCAGTGCGGACCGGGATGAGGAGCCCTTAGGGATGGTGAGGGGTGTCCCTCAGTGCTGACTGGGATGAGGAGCCCTCAGGGATGATGAGGGGTGTCCCTCAGTGCGGACCGGGATGAGGAGCCCTCAGGGATGGTGAGGGGTGCAGTGTGAGCACCCCAGTGCACGGTGTCCCTCACCAGTGCTGTGCACTGAGCACTCAGGAAACTCCATCTGCCTTGGGAGAGGTCCAGGCACCACAGCCCCAAGGTTGGGAGATGTCCTCTGAGTCTTGAAGAACTTTCTGCAGAGCCCTCCATAGCTACTGCTGCTCTGAGAGGAGCTTTTCTCCCATCCCTAGCGTTGTTTTCCGAAGGGCGGTAAATTCAAGGCGTTTAATCATCTGATTGTGATTCTCATCCTTCTCTGATCTCCAGTGTTCTGGAAAACCTGCAGGATAGTCATGGAGCCTCTGCCATGGCAGCAAAGCAGTGCAAAATCCTCATGGAGCTGAAACAGGAGCAGGTAATGCTGCAGTGAGAGGAGCTGGGCTTCATCTCATGACCAGTGGGAGAAAATGCAGCACAGGGAGATGCCTGGAGTTGCTGGAGCAAGTGGGGTCTGCTTTTTAAAAAAGAAAAATCACTTTGCATGCATTATTCTGCTTGTTTCCTATATTCAGTGAGGGTTTTTTTGTGCTGAAGTCAGCAGTCTGTAAATCTTGGATAAAAGAAAACACCTTTTTATATCTTGTTTCCTGCTACTTCACTGTTATTGTGGATTTTTCTATTTATGGTACAACAAACAGGTCATGTAATATAGGTTTTCACTGATTTATGCAGATTTATGCTTCTGATGTTGAAATACATTAAATTAATCTGACAGCTAATTTTATAATCTCAGTTATTCTGCTATGCAGGGTTCATAATTACACTTGGTAGTCAGAAAGTGTGTCCTGCTCCTTATGTAGTACAAGCCTGTCCTTTCCTTAAAGGGATTCCGAATGCAAACTGCAAGCATCCTGTAGTTTTGAATGATCTGAAGATAATTAATTTTTAAAGGTCTCGCCTCTTGACACCCCATCGAAATATCCCCTTAATCTGTCATCAGTTTTCACAGGTAACCCCTCCACAAAACCATATTGAATTTTCAGGGTGTTTTGTGAGTAGTATGTTAAGAAACTTTACACATATTTTTTAAGTAGGTCTTGTTATCTTCTCTCTTATGCTCCTTTCCTTTTCTGCTTTGCGTAGGCAGAAATCCAGCACCTGCAAAACATCTACAGGGCAGCCCATCAAGAAAGAAAGCTTTTGTTAAAGCAGCAAAGAGAAATCTTAATGATGCAGCATTCAACAGCACAACTCCAGGAAAAGCTGCACAGTTTGTCTGGGAAGCAAGAGGTTGTGAAGTCACAGTCGCTGGATGTCCTGGTGGGTTTTTGGGTGGGTAAGAGCTGAAGTCAGAGCTGATCCTACAGGTGAAACCTTCTGTTTTCTTTTCCTTTTAGGTTGTGAGGAACCAAGCAACTGAAGAAGCAATAAAGCTGAAGAAAATGAAGCTTATTTCTGGCCCAAAGTCCTACTCCTCTTCAGCAGAGTCTGCAGCCCCTCCAGAAAGGCCTGAGCTGTCAGGGAGTAAAGAGAGTTGTCTCCAGCTAAAGCACAAACAGAAGAAACATGAGGGGTAAGTAAAACCCTTTCTTAGTGATAGCTGAAGGTAAGAACCAACCTAGTGAGGCAGATTGAGACAGTTATGTCCTAGATAACTGTGTGAGCTCTAAACACCCCGAAGAGGGGAGTTTTATAATGATAAGTTTTGAAAATCTTGATGTTCAAGCAGTTGATGCATGAAGATCACTGCTTATTCTGACCAACCTGGTGTCCCAAATGGTAAGTTCCTCAGGGCACTTTTAATGATGCCACGCAGCTACTAATAGTAGTTCATGTGTTCATCATGGCTTTTAAAACCTCTCTGCAACTATATATTAATTAGACTTCAAAATACCCACGCTGAATGAGTAGAAATGTATTGATTTAATTGGAAAAAAAATTAAAAAAAACAACATATCTGTATGAATTAAAACCCCTTTTCATTCAGTGCACCCAGAGCTTTAGCAGAATGGTGAGTCAGGTTTGTGCATTTACTTAAGTCCCCACAGGGAAAGGCTTTCAAATAAATCCCTGCATGGAACTGATCTATAATTCATGGTGTTATTGATTACAAGTCAGAGGAATCTTTAAAAGGTTTCTTGGCTGTGCTTTCACTTCTTATCACTGACAAGGCTGCTCATAGGAGAACAGTGAATATTGGTGTCAGTCTAGAGCAGCCAGGGCCTGCTGGAACTCAAATGCACCCAAATTCAGGCTGATTGTCCACAGATCTCTGTCCTGGGTAGGAGAGCAGAGCGAGAATTCTGCTATTTATCCACCAGCATGGGTGTGGTCATATTTTACACTGATCAGCAAAGCAGTTAACAAGATGGGGACTGGAAAGGGATGGAAAAGTTTGGGAAATATTTTCAAAACTGAAACCAAACTGAAATAATAAATTACCAACATGCAGAAAAAAATGCTGGTTTAGGGTTTTGTAATGGGTGTTAAATACTAGAAACAAATGATAAAGAAATGTATAATTCTTTCACGTGGACAAGCTTTTAACTTAAGAATTAGGGATATATGTCCTAAACTGAGATACTTATTTTGATGTCCTTACATGTTAGTAGTGTTGAATACTATAGAGAAATTTACCTTCTGGATATTCATCCTGTTAATATCCTCAAGAACATATTTACCTTTTTAAACTGGTATTAAAGTAAAAGCTAGTCAAAAAACCCAATGAAACCAAACCAAAAAAACCCAGATTTTTTTTTTTTTTCTGAACAGAATAACTTAACTCTTAATTATAGAGCTGAGGGAAAAGCCTGTGAATATGAGTCATGTTGCCTTGTGATTTTACAGTAAGGAGACTGTTAAGAAAGTTTAAAGTCACCATCAAAATCAGTATCTGATGTCCCAAATGTCCATAAAGTTGCAATGCTATACTTGAAGTAGAAAATTTCATGAGAATTGTTGAAATCTGAAATGCTATGATTGATTGGAAAGGGAGGAGGCAGACAGGTTCAGAGTTTGACCCTGGATTTGCTTTTTGAGTTCTAATGTTGTTTGTTTGTTTGTTTTTTTCAGTCTCCTCCTGTTCTTGTCTATGAAGGTTTGAAACTTGACTGTATAAAATATAAAACCAAGTGAGAGGGAGGGGATTGAAGAAATAAATACACTGTTCAGAGTGTTTCTGGCTTTACTAATTTGCTGGTTTAGAAATGCTCTAGAGATACTATCAAGCACTACCAGAAGCATTTATTTTGTACTTTTGACTTCATATGGATTTGTCATGACTAACTTGGAAACACAAACCCCACTCCCAATAATTAATCCAAATTAATCCTTTGTCCAACTCTTTACAGCTTTCCTGCTGAGAACAAGGGAACACTGGGACAGCATCAGAAACAGGCAGAGGAGTCCCCAGGTTTGGAGCAGTCCCTTGGTGTGAAAATGTCCAGAATGGTGGCCAAGAGAGTGTATGATGATGCTGCTGGTGAAACCACAGGCTCAGTCTTCCTGGCTGAAGACTGCAGAAACACAGGTACCCAGTGCAGATTCTGCAGCAAACCATGTCTGTGACCATTTACTTACTTCAGGGCAAAAGTGGAAGTCTCAGCTGCTCTTTGGAGCAGTTCAAATGATCTTTCAGGAGAGGACTTTCAGCTGCTGGTGGTGTGACTAGTAATGTGTAGGGCAATGGTTACTCAAACTATAAATGACTTAACACTGAGCTAAACAAAAAGCCAAAGTAAAGTTAGTAATATAAAAAACTAGCACTGAAAACATTGTAATTTAATGTTGCATCTTACAGAACTTATTGCTCGGGGTAATGTTTTATTACCTCTGGAACATATAAATTCAGCTAAAATGGATGAACCTGTATCTACACCAATTACCAGAGAAGGCAGACAGCGTGCATTTCAGGTAAGGATCCCTCTGGAATTCCATTAATGCCTAAAGAAACGGTGCCCTGGGATATATTGGCCTCATGGCAGGACCAGCACAAGACTCACCTGGCAGTTATGACATTAAGTAAAAATCAGTCTGTGTTGGGTACATTCACTTCATCTAAACATTAAATTTTGACCTGGGTTCAGCTGGTTCCCCAGTTCTCCCACCCCTTCCATGTTCTCTGTGCTCTTACCTGGTGACATTGTATTTAACTCATCTCCTGTGGGAAAGTGCTGTGCTGCTCCAGGGGAAACTAAACCTGTTCCCAGAGCACTAAACTATTATTTCCCACAGCATCTGCAGAGACCAGTCCCTTCCCTATTTCCTACCTCCTTGATACAACCCCAATGTGGATATATGTGCTCAGGAGCCCACAGGCCCTTATATACTTTAGGGGGAACATGTAAATTTAATCTGATATTAACTGTGATTCTTAAATATTTACATCCCAGGAATCTGTGCTGCAGGAAGAGGCATTCCTTTCAAACCCAGAGGTGGATCCTAAAGGCAGTGAAGATTTTAGTCCACGTGGCAGCAAGTTCACAGTGAAAAGCTTGGGGATGCTTTCTACCTGGTGTAACTTCTGCATGGTTCAGGCAGAGAACACTCCTGAGGGAACAGGTAAATCATATTTAATGCTTTTATGTCCAATCTGTTTCAACCACTTCACTCAAACTTTAATCCAGACAGAAAGTGCCTGTTAACAAAGTGTCTTGCTCACTATACCCAACAGATAAATCACTGCTGGGCAAGATGAGGGGATCTCTCCAAGGTTTATTAGGAGATATGATTGCCCTGCTTCCTCAGAACAAAATCATAACTTATTCTGATTGTATCAGTAACAATTTAGCCTCTCTTGAGGCATTTTTTCAGTAATTTAAGGGTGCTCTTTTTTAAAGAACATAGATCAGTTGAAGATAGACTTTGACAGGACCCGCTGGAGTTATTTTTGTTTCCAGGTTTTATCCTCAGTTCATATTTCTTACTCTTCAGTAGGGCATATAAAAAATAAAACTGTCTGTTTATATATGAGTCAGTTATATCATTTACGTAGTTCTGGGTAGGCATAATCTCTGTATTATAAATACAAAATATTGCCACAATGTGTAAATATTTGTGTCTTTTTTTCCTAATGAACCATCTTTCTGCATTTAATCCTACATACCATAGCGAGGGAGACTATAGGTTTGTGTGTCCTAAAAATACTTTTTAATGAAATGCTGATTTTTAAAAAAAATTCTTTTAAATGTTCCAGTTAAAGAAGTGGAAGTGCCTGTTCCTTATCAGGTGGATGACAGTCAGTGTTTGAAGCATTTGGACCCTGTTTCTCATGAAGCTCCTGACGAAGAACTAAATTTAAAAGCATTTTCTGAAGGATTTTCTTCCACTGAATCATCATCCAAGTCAAACAACTTCTTTTTGAAAAGTGCCAAATCAGCCTCTTCACCTCCAGAATTTCAGAAGGTGTCTGCAGTTTGGATTGACATCTCGGCAAGCTCCATTTCAGGTTCAGAATTGGAGCTGAAACACGGAGAGGACACAGATGGCAGTGTCCCAGGAGAGTTTGTCCATGACAGTGGTGAGGTGTCTCCTGATCTTTCAAAAGAGGTGCCAACAGCAATAAGTAATGGAAAGGAAATATCACCCAATGATGATCATGAACTGCCTGAAGATGACAGCTCTGAGATTTCATCACGCTCCCAGCAATCCCCTGGAGATGGGTTGGATCATGGCTGCACTGACCACCTGCTTTCTCTCATTCCAGCAGACAAAGCAAGTGCCTCCAAAACCAAACCAGCACGTTCCTCCCAATCTGCTAACCCTGAGGAGGGAACGGGTGAGCCACACCTGGGTGCCTCAGGAAGCTCCAGTAGAAACCAATCCTGTTCTCAGGAGATCCCAGAACAGGGTAACGATGCCTCTGCCAGCTCCTCATGCAGTGATGATATTTACTCACCTAAGATCTACGAACAGCAGAAACCTAATTCTACAGCGAACAGAGTGTTAGGGGAAATTAGCAGTTCATTTGTGGATCAGAATAGAGACCTGAAGGGTTTTCCACCTTTGGTTTCTTTGAAACATCGAGATTCAGTTACTGACCAACTGGGGAACATTGTTTCTTTTCTGCCTGAGAGAGATATTGCAAATAACAAACTGTTAGCATGTCTGTCTCCCCAGAGGGGGCTCTTTTCTTCTGCCTCCTCAAAAAAGCAATTATTTCAGGCTGAGCACTGCTCTTCCAAAGGGGAAGATGATGCAACCTCTATTAGTGATAAGGGTCTCCCTCCAGCTGCTGAGGATGCCTTGTCGGAAATCCTGTCTCCTGGGGATGAAGTATTGTCCTGTGGAAGTGCTGACTTGCCATCCTCTGACAAAAAGGATTTGTCATTGCCAAGTGACGATCTTCCTCCTCCCTCTTTAGGTGCAGGTGCAGTGAGAAATGATGATCCTACCTCCAGCACAGATGATTTCCCATCCCCACCAGAACAAATGACAGGCTCAGAGACCAGTCAGGGGATGGGTGAAGATACATCACTGGAAATGGATGCATGGTCCCCATTACCTGATAACATCGTGCCTCAAGAATTTCCCCCACTCAGTCAAGAGACAATTGATGCTTTTTCAACTCAGGGTGGTTGTCCCTCAGAACAATCTTCACTTCAAGCCACTTCCAGCCCAAAGGAGGACTTACCAGAACACCAACAAGGAGATAGTGAGCCAGCTTTGCAGCCTTTGGAGCTCCTGCCTGTATCAAACCCTACTTTTTCTGGTCAGGCCAGTAAAAGTCCTGACTTATTAACGAACCAATGTACAACAGATTTCATGCTGCCCAGCACTGGTGGGGACGGTGATGACCCATTGCTGTCATTTGAAATTGGGGACAGGGTGCTGGTAAAGCAGAGCCAGGCTGGGACTCTGCTGTTCAAAGGACGGACTCATTTTGCCAGTGGCCACTGGGCTGGTGTTGCTCTGGACAAAGCTGAAGGTGACAATGCTGGGACTTACCAAGGGGTGAAGTATTTCCGGTGTGCTCAGCACTGTGGTGTCTTTGTCAGGCCTGAAGAGATCTCACACCTGCTGGGGGATAACAAAAAGGCTTCCAGTTCCTCTGGGGGTGAAGATTCCCACTCTGATGATGGTGAATCTTTCAAAAGGGACTGCAGATATTCTGGAGGTGACAAGCAGAGAGTGGGGTTTACAGAGCAGAAAACAGAAGACACAAAAAGTGCGGGAGGTTCAGAAGTAAAAGAAAACCAGTCCAGGTTACACACTGCCTTGCTGTCTAGAAAAGGGCAGAAGTTTCCACCTTGCAACCAGTGTAAATGTACTGAATTTCTCTGTGAAAAGAACTTGATGTGCTTGGGACCAGATAAGGAAAAAACAGAGCTGGCACAAATAAAACAAAGGATACTTGCAGCTGTGCTTCCAGTGAAAAGCAGGACCAATACCACAGATGAGGTAAACACAAGCAAAAATATTTGTTGCTTGGTAGAGGATCAGAAAAGAATTAAACTTGCTGATGATGTTGCAAGTGAACTCGGTAAAAAACTTCTGGTGGATGTTTTAATTGCATTTTCTGAAACAGCTCAACACAAATATAAAAGTGCCTTTGAAAAGGACATGATGAATTACTGCAAAGGCCTCAGGCAAGGAGACAGCCAGAAACTGTTTCTCCTCAAAGAAAATTCAGCTGCTGTCTTATCTGAACCATCAGCAAAGGTTTCTGATGTTCTCCTGGGTGATTTTGATACGCTTTGCATTCGTGGTTGTCACACAGTAGCAGAAAGAATTGTAACTAAATTTATAGACGATGCAGTGAAAGAATATAGGAAGATTAAAAGAAAACATGGATCAAAAGCAGACAAGATACTTCATTTATCTTCAGAGACTTCTCCAACCACTCTGCCAGTAAGTACAATGGGAGAGTTTTTATTTAAAGTGTTGGACCTGAAGCTGGGTCTACCCGGGCAAGAATTTATCACTCATAAAAATTACATCACGTCACCATTAGGAACCGGGTTGCTCCCTTAATCTGACCCATTTAAGGGATTACATTTAAGGAATTATTCTCACTTAAGGTTTGTTGTTTGTTTTGTTTTGTTTTGTTTTTATTCCCTCTCTCCTGAAGTTCCTTAATAAAATCCTTGATGCTGGTGTGTTTGGAAGCTCTGAAGACTTTGTTCAGCCTAATTCTGACCAACATGTGCTGGTGAGACAAAGACAAAGGCAATACTTGTACAAATTAGATCACTGGCACTCAGCTCCTTGGAAGAAAACTGTGGAAGTTCCTCTTGTGATACCACATTGCAGTTCTTACGTTAGAAACTTGTCTGCATGTGCTGTAGAAGAATTGTGGACCCCAGAAAACATAAATTCAAATTTCAGGAGCATCAGTGTGCCAAAGTACTCTGAATGTACTGATCTTCCAGAGAATGATTTGGAAGCAGAAAGCAAAAGGATGTATCATCAGGTATTTTCAAAGCACTAACTGTTATTAACTTTTCTAGTGTTCTGTAAGCTGACTCAGATAATGTTTAATATTAATCTAATTATTAAACTGACACAAAAACGTAGCTAAAGGAACACTGGAAGGCACTGCAAAGTAAAGCTGGATAATTCCAGTAGAATTATGGCTGCTTTTGCCAGAGTTCTTCAGCCATGAGACCCTGGACACCTGACAGCAGCTGTGGGAGCATCAGTGATGCAGGTGCTGTCAGGAAATCCTGCCCTGAGATTCCAACCTTTCCTGTCACCCCCTCCAACCCCCAAAAATCCTTCAGAAATGCTGAGAAAACGTTTGCAAGGGCCAGCAGGGAGAGGTTCAGCTGTGTCAGTGCTGCGGTTTTGCTGTTCCAGGTTATATTTGACTTGACCCGGGAGCTGTTACGTGCAGAATATCGAGTGACTGCAGATCCAAATAGTTTTCCATGGATGAAAATAAACGTGGGATCTCGCTGTTCCAGGCATCCCTGCAGAAGAACAGATGTCAGGGATGTCAAGGTACGTTCTGGGAATGGGAAGTGCAGGAACAAGAGTCAGTGAAGAGAGCAGGTCTTGCAGTGGCGACGAGAAGTGTGAAACTGGGGAGAAGGGTGGTGGCAGTGGAAGTGATGGGGGAAGAAAACAGCATGAAAATGCCTGAATAAACACAGGCTGAGCTGGTTAGTCAAAATATTCCAAAAGTGTGGAGCTCTGCAGAGGAATGGCCTAAATCCTCCTAATTATGACTACTTTGGGTGTAACCTCTAAAGCAACATTATGACTAAAATGTGTTGGTTGAGGAGTTCCCTAAACTTGGGGAGGTTTCTGGCCTCAAAGCTGGATTTTCAGTGCCTGTCACTGATCTGCTACAGTTCCTGTGAGGCCAATCCTTTTCAGCCTTTTTTTTTCTTTTGTAGACATTTGTTCAGGGTGAAATTATTAAAATAATGAACCTGGAAAAGAATGACTTAGAAATGAAAAGGAAATTCCTAAATATGACCAAGTATGGAAACTGTAAGAGAGACAGAGTGGATCTTATTCTGGTAAGCAGAATTCCAAATGGGATTTGCCCACTTATTAAACTAGAAATTCTTTTGTGAGAACCATATTTTCTTAATTACTTCAGAACTTCAAGTTATTGCCTTTTTTTCCAGTACACTTGCAATAATAATCCAGTATTTCCTGTTCTAGCGAGTGGTTTAATATCTCAATATATAAACTATATTATATCTATTTTATTATATATCATTTATAGAAAGCTGTTGCATTAGGTACAGTGTCTCAATACCTTTCAGAACCAACCATACTCCTCCTCTTGAGCTTATTCTTGTTCTATTTCAGGTTCAGGAGCTCCGTAAAGAAGAGTCTCAGTGGACTTACTATGGTGATGATGAATTAACAGTGAAGATGAGGATGACTGAAGGCATATTTGATTGCTTGATCCTTGATACAATCAGAGTTCTTAATAAGATTTATCTGAGAAAAGCCTGTGAATAGAAGTTTTTCCTCATGGGCCCAAATGGAGGAATTTTAATCTCTGATTTTTTTTTTCTTTATTTTTCAGTCAAGAAATGAGTGATTTAAGAACTTTAACTCTGAACTTGTACCCAATACCAGTGTGGCCTTGGCCTAATTTGTACACTCATATTTACGATGAAAGGTTCAAGGAGAGACTTATGCAGATGGAAAAATAACACACAAAATATCCTCCTTGTTTTCTGTGCTTTGGGGAGGCTCATTAAGATCAATGGTCTTCTTAGACTGATGTCACACAGAATCCAAAGGGGGGAAATTTTATTCTCTTTTTTAATTCAAGACTGCACTTTATCTGCTTTGAAGAGCACAATGTGTTTTAAAATTTTATCCAAGTCTCTCCAAACAGGTTTCAGAACCAATTTGTGTGCAAGTGATCTTATTCTTGTTATCACGCTCAGGTTTGTGAATGCTTTGAAAATTGTGTTCAGAAAATCACTGGTGACTGTCTGAAGAACGTAAATGTGCAGATGGAGTTGCATCTCCCAGATCCTGAATTGCTGTGGGCCTCTGTAGTTTGGAATAAACTCCTCTAACCGGAACAAGTCTAAAACTTTTCCTGATGGGTGCAGCAGACTTTAAAGTGACTGTGCATCATTATTGTTTTTAATACACTGTGGAACTAGTTGAAAATAGCCTGGAGATGGTTCCGGAGATGTGGCATAAGGAATGGCAGGACCTAGAGCCAGATGTTCAGTTTAAATGTCTATAACTTCATGTAAATGAGACAAATACTGATGCAATGCACTTTAACTGGGAGACTTTTCTACCAGTAACTTCAGTGCCTGTCAATTAAATTATGTGCATGTGAGTTGGGTTATTTATAAAACAGTTCACATCAGCCTGTTGAGTTCTTACAACATCTAAACGTGGGGTGCTGGGGATGTGCCTTAAGCAGCAAAACAGAGGGAACCAATAATCCTTTTGTAATGGCAAAACACTGGAAAAAGTGCAAACCCCAAGATTTTAGCAAGGAAATATAAGCATTCCCTGAGCATGGTAATCAGTTCACCATGGAAATTGCTGTCCCACCTCTTTTGCCTTGGTTGTTTTCCTACTGAATTGTTTCATGTTGAATTCTTTTCTGAAGCAACAAAATAAACCATATGTAAAACATTATTTGTACTGAAATCAATTAGAATTGCAGATTATATCGTAGACTGCTATTCTCAGCAGTGACTGGGAGTACTTTTGTTCTGCAGACAGTTCCTGAGGACATCAAACCCTCCCCTGCTTGTTGCCATATGAACAGAAATAAAAAGGCAACTTCTGCCCCGAGCTTATTAACTGTTGGTCTTATCCTAGGAACTGTTTTCATGTCCCTAGTGGTACATTTCCTTAAGTCTCTGACTTTTATCCTCATTGATTAGTTAATCCAGATAAGTTATTTGTTTTCTTGTTGTCAGTTTGTAGTAGAATTTAACTCAATTTTTTTTTTCTCCTGGACTTGCAGATTGTTGGCTACAATGACAAATCTATATATCGAAGCCCTCTGGTTTTTCACTTTACTGTCACCCTGACTTTGCAGCAGCAGCAGGAGCCTTGTGTTTGGTATGAAAGCTGTTAAAAACATCACTTATCCATGAAATAATAGTTGAAGGACTTGTTTGATTTCAGACCGGTGCCTCACGTTGCACCTGAGGCTGATAACCCTCAGATTTGCAATGAGGTTTGTGAGTGAAGCCTGAACCCTCAGGAGATGCTCTGCAGGGAAGGACACAGCTATAAAGTAACCCCTCCTGCTGAGAATAAAAAGTGTCTACACAGGGCATGTCAGACATGTTTAATCTCCCCCACCATTCCGTGCTCCAAACCTGAGATTCTGGCACCCAGATATATTGACCTGCTCGCTCAGTGGCAAGACTTCAATATCAAGATTACTCTCCTTCAAGGTCTAATATTTTGTTTGCCTTGGGTTTGATCAATATTAACCTCCTGGGTCAATAAATCTTGATACTAGGCTCAAGAGGAGTCATTATCTTTCATGGAAAATGATTATTTCTCAGTTAAAGCCTACATTTAATTTTCCTGTAATCCATCTCTTTCATCTTTATACATTTAGCGATTCTTCTGAATAAAATGTGCTCTAAAATATCTTTGGCACTGCAGATTTTTAAAATCCTAATTAGCAGCTGCTGCAAGATTTTTCAATTCTTTGAAGCTGTTGGACTCTGCTCTTGTAACCATGTATTTTTTTGCTTGTTGTACCCTGGAAAAAGAGACAGAAAACCCCAAAGCTGGGCTGTGATTGGAGAAATCATTTAGCCTGTAGCTGTGGCTATAGATCAAAAGATATGTGTCTGAAACACTTCAGATATTAATGGTCAAAAAAAGAGAGGATCAGGAAAAGAAAAAGCAGAAGGGGGAGAATCTGATAAATTAAATTTACACTGGTGGGCCTGAAGTAAGAATTTAGACCCATTTCTTTCCTACTTGTTCTTCATGGATTAAAAGAAGTGCTTGTGAGTAACAGAAACAAGAATTACATTTTCAGAGACCTCAGTCTTTAATTATCCTAAGTTTTAAACTCCTCTGAAATTGTCCTCGGGGGCTGTTGTTGGTTTTCTGCCTCTCATTAATGTAATGGAAGTTCTTAAGCCTGTATTTAGAAATGAAAGGAGATGTCCACACTGTGGCCAGAGCTATAAAAGGTGCTCAAATCCATTACTAGTGCACATCCAACCTGAATTTGTGGAAAGGACAGAGTTTTTATCAGCCTGCCCACGTGCAGCCTTTTGTCAGAGCTTTAGTTTGAGGAGAAATGGCTCTTCCCTGCTGAGAGAGGGACTTCGGGATGAAATAGCTCTCGACCCACAGGCCATGAGGTTTTCATCTCTTCTCGGTGAGAAGCTTTGTGAAGTTGAAACTTCTGTTTCTGTATCAATTGTCACATCAATTTGGCCACTGAGTGATCTCAAAGTATCACAGGCTGGGTCAGGTCGGAAGGGACCACAGTGGGTCGAGGAGTTCTGCAGAACGTCCTCGTGGCCTGAAAATTGTGCGTTCTTTGTACCCCTATCGGTGGTACATCATTCTTTCCAAGCTTTAACCTCCCCACTGAGGTATGTCCAGCCCTAGACCTTAACAACTCCACCAACAGGTAAATTGTTCTGACACACGGACATCCCTCAGAGCTTGCTTATTAGCTGCTGTTTCACGGATTAAACCTCCCTTCTTGTTGATTAGGCTTGAAAGGTCAAACATCAAAAACACCCTCGCTTATGAAAGTTTTTACATACTCCACACTTCGAAAGGCTCTGAAGGACACGGGGCAGTTGTCGCTCCCCTCTCAGGGACACGTTATCGTCCTGGATGCCCTCAGGGGACACGAGACACTCAGGTGACAGGCGACACTCCTGGCTTCCCTCAGGACACAGGAGAGTCCTCATTCCCCTCAGGACACGGGGCACTCCTCGCTGCCCTCACAGGGAATCAGGACACTGATGGTTTGCCTCACAGGGACAGGGGACACTGCTCGCTGCCCTCAGGACACGGCACAGCCCTCTCTGCCCTCACAGGGACACGGGGCACTCCTCGCTGCCCTCAGGACATGGCACAGCCCTCTCTGCCCTCATGGCTCCCATCCCACCCCTCAGGCCGTGCCGCCATGGCCGGCGCGTTGCTATGGCGCGGCCCCGCCCCGCCCCTCTCCGCGCGTCCCAACATGGCGGCGGCGGGCGGGGGGCGGCGGGCGCTGCTCCCGCTCCCGGTGCCGCTCCCACTGCTGCTCCCGGTGCTCCTGGCGGCGGCCGCGGCCGCTCGGCTCTACCGGCCCGGCCACGACCCGCTGACCGTGCTGACGGCCGGCTCGGTGCGGCCGGCGCTGCTCAACTCGTCGGCCGCCTGGGTGGTGCAGTTCTACAGCTCGTCCTGCGGCCACTGCATCGCCTTCGCTCCCACCTGGCGGGCGCTGGCGGGGGACGTCAAAGGTGAGGCTGGGACCGGGTCACGGCCGCCCTGAGCGCGGCCTCCCGGTGCCCGGTGCCCGGTGCAGGGCCGCGCTGGGCTGGGGGGCCGCGGGGCCTCGGGCGCGTTGTCACCCCTGGGCTGTGCGGGCCGGCCACGCGTGGCCAGGTGGTGGGTGTGGGAGCCGTGGGGCCTCGGTGTATGAGAATCACCCCTCCTCCCAGCGCCCTGGTGGTGTTCTGAGTGTGGGCATCACCGCTCATCCCACTTCCCTGGTGGTACCTTGTGCGAGCATCACCCCTCAGCCCACTTTCCTTTTGGTACCTTGCTGTGTGAGCATCACCCCTCATCCCGCTTCCCTGGTGGTCCCACGCTGCTAGGATGGCACGTGGGAACAGAGCAAGGCATGGGTGGTGGTAGCACATCCCCAAATTAAAGGTTTCGTGGGAATCCCGAGGTAAAACATCACCTCACACGCAGTGATCCAGCTGCGGGGTTCACACGCGTGAGCATCCACGTGTGCCCACGGGAGGTTTGTTTAGACTGAACTCTTGGAGGCAAAATATTTATCTTCTGAATGTTTTGTAAAGGGAACGGCCTACTTGGGAAGCTAAATAAAAAATATTGTGGTACTGGAAGGACCATGAATGTGTTTGATCTATATCTTGCAAATTCATCACAGTGTGGATGGTCTAGAAGGGGGAAGAGGACACCAGGAAATAATTCAAAAATCAAGCAAAGTGAGAAGCAGGTTTTCAGATTTATCACATAGTGAATTAAAAAGAAGTAGTGGCCTCCACTGTTTGTACTGAGAGACCTGCCTTGCTGTGTCAACCTGCTCAGTTTTTTTGGCAGGTGCTGAAGTGTTTTACTCTGTTTTTATGTGTGTAAGGGAACAAACAGGCCCCTCAGGTACTGGGTACATTCAGTACCTCTGGTGGGGAGAAAACCAGAGCTCAAATTTGAACGAAATGTTATTCTTAACATAGTGGTGTAAAAGGCTTTTGAACTATTCTTAATTTAGCATTTCACCCAAGAGATCTTTCCAGGATGGAACAGCAGTTCTAATGCCCTTGTGGTTTCAGTTTGAGAGGGAGTGAAGAGCTCTGGCTCTTCTCTGACAGCCTGAAAAGTGTTAACAACTACCAGGAGATGCAGTGTTAGATGTACATGGCTTTAGATCTGTGGAAATGAAGGCCCACCCAAAAATAGGTCCTGAGGAACTCACCATGCACTGAGGAATTCTGTCTGATGAGCAGAGGCTCCAAACCAGAGGAGAACGGAGCAGTCATGGTTTCAAAGCAGTCCAAGTGCTCCTTGGGGGGCTTGTTTAGAAAAGCAGTGGCTTTTTTCCTGGTTAATCTGCATAGGTTTGTGTAAGATTTTTCACTACTGCTTTGATTTGCTTCTGGCCAAAATATGTTAGGTTTTCTTCTTCTTTGAAGTAACAAGGAAGTGTTTGAGCACTGCAGTGAAGGTCATGAAGAGCCTGAACTGACCAGAGCTTTTGTCAAAATAAAACAGGGACATGTTTATATATTAATACAGCAGTGGGATACCTTTGTAATTTGTAATGACTTCTTCAAATATGTATTTTCTTTCTCATCTACAGCCATGATAACTGCAAATTCTGTTATACACTTGTATTGCTGGAACCACTTAAAGGCCTCTCTCCTCTTTAGTCCTTTGAATTTTTATGAAGACTTTCATTTAGAAAGTGGATTTTGATATTTGTGGACGTTGGCACTGCCAGCAAATGCAATTGGCTTCTGGTGTTACTTGTCAGGAAAATGTTTCCACTTTCAGGTTGGAATGAATGGATTTTAGGAGGAGGCTGAGAACAGGCACACTTTTCATTGGGAGCTTCATCAAAAAAACCCAAACCCAGAACATTTTGCCCACTTAGGCTGTCTCAACATTTATTTTTTCAAAAATATTTACTCCTCTGCTAGGATATTAAAGCTTTCCTTGAGGATGCAGGTTCTTTTCACATTAGGGAACTCCTGGATCGCTGTGGATGTGTTTGCTGATTTGGTATCCAAACAAAATCCAGTTCAATTGGTTGCTACTGCTTTGTCCATAAAAGACCTGTGCTAATAGACTTCATTTGTATTTTGTTTCTCATTTTAAGTTAAATCTTGGCAATACAACCATTGCAGATTTCGTAGCAGAACACAATCCTCCTCAAAAATAGGAACAGTGTTGTGTAGCCTTTCTCAAGTGGGAGGTTTGACCAACCTGTGGATTCCAGTTTGTCCGAGACAGTCCTGTCATTCACTGGAACTTGTTTGGCATGAACAGAAGTTGTGCTGGTTAATGTGTCACCCCCCTGCCTTTTTCACATGGCTTGTGAGTCACTGTTTCAAAACTGCTCATGCTAATTTAAAATTAATCAGGACCAGGCTGCAGTGGCCGTGTAAACTGCACAGTGTGGGCTGTGCTCTCCAGTGACATTGGCATCCCTGAGAAAGGAAAAGCTGCTTTTCCAGCAGCAGGAATGCTGAGCGACACAGTCCCCAGCTGGTGCTCTTTAACCCGGGGGTTTAGCTGGGCTGGGGGGTGCTTTGTTGTGTGGGGTTTATTTGCACTGGGATCACAGAGCTCCTATTCATGGCCCGGAGGAGGATCCAGACAGGTGGAAAAAGGAGGAGGAGTGCTGGAAGTTGAATGGCAGAGATACCCAGAAGCCAAACTTTCCTTTTGTATTTTGCATTTTGGTTGATGAAATGGACTGTTGTGTCCTTTGTGCTGCTGTGAATAGGTGCCCATCTGCTCCTGCACGTTTTGGGGGGGGGGGGGTCTCCTGGTGCCCGCTCAGCTCTTGGCACGTTCGGCACAAAACTCTCCCCTCAGCTGCCCCATCTCCTCCGAAGACAAATAAAGGTCAAGCTAAGTTTCAAAAGCACTTTGGCAAAGCAGCTCTTGAACTTGACGAAGCTTTCCTGCTCTTTGCTGTAAAAGCAAGTTTGATTTTAGTGCTTTTTAAGTTTTATTGATACTTGGGAATTGGGGGCGGGGGGGAACCTTGACATTCTGCCCATGGCTGGTTTGATTTAACTTTGCTTCAAAAAGGAACTGTCTGAGGATTCCCTTGGAGTGGTTCTTCCTTAAAGTGATTGCTGCAGCACAGCCTGGCTCAAAAAGATAAGTTCCCAGCAAAAAGAGAAGGAAAAAGCTGTAAGTGAGTTGAAAGCTCTTACTGAAGATACATACGTATATTATGGAAATACTTGAACTCTTGTGGTTACTGCTTTGAAACGTGTATAAAGAAAACTCACAGTGATGCTCAAACTCCACTATTTAGCACTCTGGTTAAAATTCAGGTGTTTTTTGAGGCATATCTCATGTATTTCTGAACAATGCTGATGGATAAAGACAACTTTCAGCAGCCACTGCATGAGCTGGGGGATTGTGTGTAATCCTGAGGCCTCTCAGAAAATCGTAACTTTGAGAAAAAAAACAGCTTATTAAAAAAAACCAAAGCATCGAATTTATGGGTTAGTAATTGACAGCCATGTGGATGAGTAACTGCTGGATTAATTTGATTCAGTCCTGTTTTCTGCATGCCTCATTTTATGAGCATAGCTAATGGAGAAAGCTGGGGAATTCAATCCAGGGTCCTGATGGGATGACCCCAGTTTTGTCTTCCTGGATTCACTAAAATGCCTTCAGCCCTGGAACTGCTGCGCTGCCTGTTGGGATTCCTCTTGTTTAGGTGCATTTAAAATCCTGATGCAACCAAGAGAAACAGGGAGGTTTTAGTTCTTTGAAAAATCAGGAGCTTGTGTTACCCTCGGGGGTGGAAATGAGCAGCAAATGAGCATCCACAGAGGGCTGGATTTTTGTGCCACTGAAATCTGTCAGAGTCCTGTTCCTGCTTTCCCTGGGAAGCAGGGTAATCCATCAGCTGGGATCCCTGATCACTTCTGCTGAAAATGGAAAGGTGTCTTTGTTTTCAGACTGGGAACCTGCAATCAGAGTTGGGGTGCTGGACTGCGGGGAGGAGGAGAACTATGAGACCTGCAAGGAATACGAGATTCACTATTACCCCACCTTCAGGGTAAGTGGCACAACATCCTGCCTTGGGTAAATAAGACATGTTTTGTAGGCATTAAACCCATGAAATTATGTATAACTCGTTTTTCTTTAGCTGGACTTTTACTTTGCTTTTTCTGAGAAAACTGCAAACTGGATAACAGATTAATTTGAGTTTTTTTTTTTTTGCTGAATGCAAGAGGTGATGCAGCTGTTTAGAGCAGGAGTTCTGATTCTGGAAGACTGTCACACAAAATACTGTGTTGTTTCATTTATATAACACTTGGTTTTAATAGACTCATTAGATAACAACAACTTGTACAAATATTTTTCAAATTCAGATGTTCGTGATTATCGATATTGTTTTTAGTTTTGAGGTGTGAAAGCAAAGGATATTCATGGGAATTACCTCATGAAAACAGTTGATTTCATGACCAATTTAAAATTTCCCCTTGATTGATCATTCACTATTTTCCTAATTAATTTCATAATTTGCCTAAACTGGCTTTTGAAAGGATCTTGTGTTAACCAGAAGTATCTACCATTGTTCATTTTTAAATCTAAATGCAGTTTTTACCTTCTCTGTCTCTGTCAGTCTGTATCGTCACATTATTAACTGTAAGGCTGAGCAGAATGTGGTGGATGGAGAGGATTGAATAAACTTTGTTTGTGATGAGGGGGAACAGGAGCCATTTCACTGTAGGATTTGTGATCTTTTACCCTGTTAGAAAAAACAATATTTTTTTTTTAATTTTTAAAGTTTTAGGTGTAAATTGGAACACAGCCTTTATTTTTCCATTTTATTTTCCAGAGCAGAAGGTGGCCAAGCTCCCTTAGATCTCCTGTTTAACCACTGGAGGGAGTTGGGAAAATGTGAATTGTGTTCCAAGCATATACAGAGATGATAACACAGATTTTTTTGAATCACTTCATCTGGGTTAATGTTTGCAGTATTTTTCCTCTAAATTGGCTTTATCGTTATCAGAGTTCTGAATGGTACATATGAGTGAGAAACAGCTCTTTGGAGCTCATAAATTTAGAGGGAAAACTCCAAGATAAAGATGTTTCGTAGTTAGAGCTGGAAAAGTAAAAATTTGAAAGCCATTCTTGGTTTTGCCTGATAGAGTGACTTTTCTTTTCTCCCCCACAGTACTTCAAAGCATTTACAAAGCAGTTTACTACAGGAGAAAGCTATCAAGGTAAGAATATCCAACTGTAAGGAATCCCAGGGCAGTTCTCCTGTGAGCCAGGGATGTGTCACACCACAAGCAAAATCACTTTGCCTGTCAATTAGTTTGGACAGAGATGGGATGGGCACTAAATAGCTTTTCAAGGCAGGATATTCCAAAATGGAATATTAGGCACAATTTTAGGCAGGCAAAACATTTGTTCCAGAACTTAGGGCTCACTTTCCTCATTTTTCTTTTAAATAAAGCTCTTAATTACCCCAAATGTCTTGATAATTTTTTTAAAATTCCCTTTTTTTTTTTCTTTTTCCTCCACCTCACACCTCATCAGCAGGAGATCCAATTTGCTGGATCCTGACTCCAGCAAGCCACTTTCCAGGCATCCTGGATGGCACTGGGAGAGCAATTCAGATGTTGCCTGACTGAACCCAGGCTTATCCCCCCCCGTGTGACAGGATCACAGCTTGAGCTGGTTTGTCTGGCACAAAAGTGATGTTGTGTCTTTCAGTGGATTAACATTTCAAAGGCCAGAGGTCAGAGGAGAGACCACCTGCACCATTAACCCTTCCTGGCCAGGGGAGCCACGCTGGCACCTGCTGCTTTTTGGCATTTGGGGCAGCTCCTGCTTTTTCGTTGGCTTCTCTTCAAGCAAATCAAATATTCTCACGCTCCAGTTATTTCCTCAAATTGTTACCTGGCCCTTTTGGTAGGATTGATACACCTTTTCATTAATGATTAATAAATACCCTTATGGCAAAAAAGCTCCTGAAGGTGCCCACACCAACCATTGTGAAAATGAGCACAAATTTAGAATCAAGCATTATTTGAAGAGAAAAATCAGCCAGGCGGGCAGATGGGTCTATTTGGAAAAGCCTTGAAGTTGTATTAATTTTGGGGTGGGAATACAGCTTTTAAATATGATCTTATATTAACATTAAAATGCAATCCTGCAACTCAATCCTTAGTTCTTCAGCCAAATAGTGTTCTGGGTTGTGAGTCTGAATTTAAAACAAAAACCTGACAAAGTACAGCAAGAGAAAACCTCCCTGCACAGGACCAGGAAACCTCCTTGGGAGTCACTTCCCCGCAGTTCCTGAAGGGGTTGTGTTTTTTGTGACCTGTTCTCCGCAGGAGCCGACAGAGAGCTGCAAACAGTCCGTCAGATGATGATTGACTTCCTCCAGAACCATTCCCAGGAGGTCAGACCACCTGCTTGCCCACCACTGGACCCAGTTTGGTGAGTTCCTTGTTGCAAATGGAGCTGTTTATGGTCACTGAGTTAATTAAATAAAATACAAAAGGTCCTATTAAAGGTGAAGCGAGGGGTTTTTTTCCCCTACTGTCACTTCTGCTGTGAGGTTGCAAAAGGAAATTCCGTAAATATCGGGGGGTGTGTTGCACTCTGAATTTCTTTTCTTTTCTTTTGTTAAAAGGTCCAGTGATATCACTTCTCTTTTTGACAAGAACAGCCACCACTACACTGCCATTGTGTTTGAAAGCAACAGCTCCTACGTGGGACGAGAGGTAACTGTGCCTTCTGAACCCCAGGAGGTCCTGGAATGAATGTTGGCACAACACAGCTGAATTTTGGGTTATTTAGCCAAGCAACAAACCCTTTCCAGGACTGAATTCCAGGGTCATAAAGGGCAGGTCATGCCTGTTGGAGGGATCACAAAGCCAAGGGATTTTCTAGGGCGGTGCTTCGGTCACACAGAGGAACTCGCTCACAAAAGAATGTGATGTCATGTTGACTTCTTCCATTCATGTCTCAGTGGAAGATTAATTTATCAACTTCACTGTTAGCCCAGTCCTTTTTTTTTTTTTTTTTCAGGATTTAGAAGATCACAGGAAAAATACCGTCAGATTATGTTACTATTTTGTTACTGCTGGAGAACCATTTGGGATATTCGTTCTCCTGGGCAACTTTTATGATTTCAACTGTCAATAATGATCTAAAATCTCTGGTTCCCTTTCTTCACATGTAAATTTTGGGAAACTCTGTTCTAAATTAGGATGATAGCATGAGATTATTTTCACATCTCTGAGACATGGAGGAAGTTGAAGTCTTTGGTTTCTGCTTTCGCCACTCCATCAATAAAATATTTGGTTTGGCATCTTTTCCCCACCTAATGAGCCTGCTGTTAGCTTAGAGAACTGCTGCTTTTCTCTTCCTGCCAAGATCTAGGATAAGTGAAGAAAATAAATTGCATAATTATCTGGGCTTAATCTGTGTAGAAACATCCAATGTCTGCAAAATGTTTCTAATTAGGTTTGATGCTGAGATGGCCCAGTTGCAGGAGGGGAGCAGGGGGTGCTGCCAAAAGGGAGAATCATTTTGGGAAGCAGGCTGCTCTGCTTCCAGGCATTTTTTTTTGGAAGCTGCTGTGTTGATACAAGGGAGCATTACTGAAGAAAAGAAATGAGAAGATTATAAAGTTCTTTAGCTTTTTATCACACTTGCTTTGATTTTTTTTTTTCTTTACCTGCTGCTGCAGAGGAAGACTGAGAGTCATCTGATTAACACAAAGTGGAGTCTGCCTTCAGAGGAAAAGATATTTGCTCTTGTCATGTAGCATTTTAGCTTTATAGAATAGAAATAGAAATAGTGAAATAGAAAATAACACTGTTTTCATGTTTACAATATAAGACAATATGGACAAACCTAACAGGAGTCCCAGCTCCTGAAGAAGGGAAGGCCACGTGTCATCACTGTGATGGAAGGAAAGACCAGGAGAGACCAAGGAAAATAATAAAAAAAGAGGAAGATAGGAGTAATAATTTCCAGAGAAGAGTAAATCCTCTTTCAGTGCAGTTGTTACTGTGCACAGAACACTCATAGCTGCACTTCTTTGGCAAACACTTTAGGATGCCCTTAAAGGCTGATGCACTTCACCCATTTCTGTGTTTTGTCCTACATTCCTTGGTCAATGTGTAATTCATGCCATCTTTTTTGTCACCCAGGTGATCTTGGACTTGATCCAGTATGAAAACATCGTGGTGAGGAGGGCCTTGAATTCTGACAAGGCTTTCCTGGAGAAACTGGGGGTTCCCTCAGTGCCCTCCTGCTACTTGATCCAACCCAACGGGTCCCATGGCTTAATTAACAAGTAAGTCATTAACTGTCAGAGCAGTATGAGGAGGTTCATTTAAGTTATAAAAAAAAAAACAACAACAAACTTCTATGGATTCCTTTCACACAAAGCAAATTATTCTGTGTCATCCTTTAGCCTGGAATAATGACCTTGTGTCCTGGCGTGTCATCAGTGCACTGCACTGACTGATGTTGTGTGTTACCTGTCTTATCAATAAGAAACCTAATACTGCTTTTACTTACCCCTGTTGCCTATTTATAGCTTTAATTTATTACTGTGATACATCTGAAAGGGAAAAACTTAGGAATAAAGGTGGAGAAAAATAAATGAAGCATCAAAGTTCTTAAAAAAGGCTTGATTCTAAGTCAAAATACTCATTCCATGTGAACATTTTTTGTGTAAAGTGAACAAATGTTTTGGTGAGCGTTATTTGTTCTTATTTTGAATGGATTTTATTATTTTGAATGGAATTTCACGCCACTAATCCAAATTGCTGTTGCTAAATTGAACATTATTTCACTTCACTTTGTATGGAAACACACCGTGCTGCTCTAGGACTGGAAAACACGAACCAGAGCGAATATCTTGTTTTATAAATATCCCAGTTTCCTTTGGACATCTACTCAGTCTGAGATTAAAAGTAATCTCCCTTTGTTTGTGTTTGTTTATGCGCAGTTTGAAGCCTCTCCGGTCTTTCTTTTCTTCATATTTAAAGTCACTGCCAGGGGTGAGGAAAAAACTCCTTTTGCCACTGCAGCTTCCTGCTCAAGAAAACAAAGAGGAGGGCACAGAAATCAAGGTGTGGAAAGAGTTTGATAAGTAAGTGATCCCCTTGATTTTCAGATCAATACTTGGTTATTAAAATTTACTTTGCAGGTTTTTTGGTTGTTTTTTTTTTCCCTGTGGGAAGCTGTGCTGTAATTTATAATAAAACCTTCAAAATATGAAGAGCTTATTGCCCATTGCCTGAAATGTATAAATCAGTGATGTGAATTGTTGGAAAACCTCAGGAAGTAAAACTGAACAGTAAAATAAAAAGCTGTAGAAAAGGAGAGTTCTCTGTGTGTGTAACGGTTGAAGCAGTGCCCACTAAAAAGTGCTGCCAAACGCAAGTATAACAGAAAATACTAAAGTCACTGGAAAAAGATGTTTATCATCCCAAATCCCAAAGGTTTATCTTCACCCTCTTCCTCTCTTTGTGCGAGAGGAGGATGTAAAGCCTTTGCAGAGAGATAATCCCTCAGCATCTTTAGATGGAAAGATGGAGGACTGAGTGCTTTAATTTAGTACTTATTTTCCTTTCAGAGACACTATTAGTGTCATCTTCTTTCAATGGCTATTAGAAAGTACTTTATATGAAACATTCTCATAGCAAAACAACTTAGTTAAATTGAGCTGCTTTCCAGCAAGGCCGAATCCTGGGGACATGAATCTCCAGTCCAAGTACCTCCTAAACAGGATCCTTTGGGAGAACCTCCTGCATTCACGTGGTTGTCTTTTTAAATAAGAAACTTGATGCAGAATTTTGCTGGTTTTTTAAATTTAAGTGAGTACATTGTTAATTAAGGAGGTAGATTCAGAATAACTCTGTAGTTTGAGCTGTTAAGATATAGAATATTCTGTACTTTAATATGTTCTTTCCTGTGTGTAATTTAGGAGGTGGGGCCAGCCAATTTCTTGAATGATTGCTTTAGGAACAACAGTGCTGCTGAGCTCTTACAAGAAATTTTAACTATTCCCCAAGTGAAATTCTGTTTTTTTCAGTGCCATTGCTCTGTCTCACACTGGCTTAAGTCCATGCTCTGGCAGCACTGAAAGCTGGGGGAGGGCTGTGCTTGATGTATTTGTACTTTGTAAAGTGGTTTTTGTTATGAAGATGATTGGTTGTGAGAAGGAACTTTTAAAACTATTCGTTTTACGTGGTTTGCTTTGACCTGCCCCAAGGTGCCTCGTTCAATCAGCCAGTGTGGTTTAACTCACACAGGAAGGACCTGCGGTAAAACTGCTGCTTTTGGGAGAGGATTTCTAACCCCGGTCCTTTCCACCAGTGCCATTTTCAGCCCTGCTCTGTGTTTAATCCACTGCTGTCCATCACACTGTCCATCCCGTGCCATTTTGCTGTTTGTGGCCACCCCAGCAGAGAAGCTGTAATTTCCTTGCACCGCTTCATTTCCTTGCTGACAGTGCCAGGGCTATAATTTCATGGCAAGGTAAAGGCTGCCTGGGAGGCAGAAAAGTTTAGTCAAATATTAAAAAAACCAACTTTCTGCAATGTGATTGTGCTTTGTTTATCCAAACCCTGAGGAGAATGAAAGAGCCCAATGACACCAACCCGGGGTGGGGTAACTGCAGTCACTGCGGGACTGAGGCTTTAATGACGCCTCTCTCCATCAATTTTATCTTCGTGGCTGGGGAGAAAAGAAGCAAAAAGAAAAACTGCCAGGTTTGTCCCCCCCATGATTTGTGTGTTTTCCAGGACCAAGCTGTACATGGCTGACCTTGAGTCGGGATTGCATTTCCTGCTCAGGGTGGAACTCGCCACGCACAAGACGCTGGAGGGAGCTGAGCTCAGGACCTTCAAGGATTTTGTCACCATCTCTGCCAAGGTACACACTTCTAGTCGTTGATTATTTGTGAGAATGAAGTGGTTTGACCGTCATCAGTTTATTATGGGGCAAAGGTCTCTCGGGATGTTTAAATCTGTGTGTCCTCGATAGGGGAAAAAGGAGTTTTGTGGGTTTGTTTACGTGTTGTTTTTGAGGTATTTTGTGCTGTTGTGACAGACTTACAGGGTTAAAATGCATTTTAATTTAATCTTAGAAGGCTCAAAATTAAATAAAGCTTAAGTAGTCTGCAGCATATTGAACAGCCACTGTAAATATAGTCCATTTATCAGATTTTCAGGATAAGTAGCTATTGGAACTCAGTGGGATTAAAACAATTTGTTTTTCATTCTTGACTTTTGGATTTCGTTAATGCACACTTGGCAAATGGTGTTCTGTCTAGAGATCTTAGCAGATTCTGTCTAAATTTGGAATATAACTGAGGTACTGAATTTAACCGATTATTTCAAAATAATGGAGGCATTGAATATTAATGAGTCTTTAAAAAATAAAAATGCTTATGTGTTACATTTGTAATATAGGGAATTAAAAAAAATTGAAGTAATTTCACTTTATAATGCCAGTTTACTGAAGTGACCAATGTCTCTTTATATTTGCTTACAGTGTAGCTACCACTATGTTTTATTTTAAAAAAGTGAATCAATAACTATTAAGGGAATAATAAGGCCTATATGAACCATTTCCAGATATCTGGATTTATCTGAAAATCAGACAGACAGTTTCTTACCCCCCTTTTTCCCCCCCCTGCAGCCATCAGAGGTCAGAAATCTCTCACTGGCCTCATTTCTTTAAGAAAGTGTGGTGCTAATCTTTCCATCATATTATCCCTAAAACATCCTCTGCTCTTCCTGATGGCCCCTGGCCAGCTGATGTCATTTGCTTCCCTGGTTAGTAGTGCAGAAATTGGGAATGCTCTCTTTTGGGCCCCTGCTCAGCTCCACCTGCCCTTGCAGGGTGGCCTTGCAGGTTTGCATTTATTTTGGTGATGTAACATTTTCCTTGTATCTCCTCTTCGTGATTTGTAGGTGATTTTGGTAGGAAATCTTTTATACTCTGCTCCTGGTTCTAATGAGGATCAACCCAAAGTCACAGAGATCTCTGGTTCCCTACTTGGGGGATTCTCATTGCTCAAATCTTATTCCCTAAAGGCTGATGGGCACACTCAACTCAATTCTGTAGCAATCACAGCCCTAATTAAAGCAAAATAACCATTTCTGGTGTAAAATCACGGCCTCACCACTGAATTGCAGTCCCTCACACCCTTCTGTGGCTTCTGTAAGTTCCAAGCTGAGGAAAACACTGTTTCCAAATCCCTTTGGAAACCACTCTTACACATATGAGAAGGAAAATGCTCTTCTGGATAACCAGCTCCTCAACTGACAGAAATCTGGCCAAAAAGAACTCGTTTTTTGTGATTGGTCTTCTAAAAGTGAGAAAGGTTTCAGCCTCCCTGATTCACTGAGGTGTCACCTTTGTTCTGAGCCACCCCCTGAACTGAATTACCCCAACGTGAAATTCTGGGTAACCTGGCCAAAGTTATTCCATGCAACTCCTGCTCGTTCTTCAGTCCCTTCCATTTTAATATTTTGCAGATAAAACTTGTTAGTTTTGTCAGCCCAACTCAGTGTGAGATGGCTTTTCACTGGAAGCAGAACAAGCAGTTAATTTGCTTATAATCTGAAAGCATTTGAAAGGCAGGAAAACGTTTAGACGACGACAGAAGTGTCTTGCTGGTGATGGGATTTGGGCTTTAAAAAATTGTTTTCCTTGATTTTTTTTTTTTAAATTTTATTTTTGTTCTTCTCAGCTCTTTCCTGGCCGTCAGCCTGTGGTGAAGTTGTTAGAGACCTTGCAAGAGTGGCTGGTGAGCCTTCCATTAGACAAAATCCCTTATGATGCTATTCTGGATCTGGTCAACAACAAAATGCGGGTAAGCTGGTGCCAGTTCCCAGCAGAAAATGCAGCATTAGTAAAGGATAAGATTCTCTATAAATCTAAGACATCACTTACTGATGGTCCCTCAGTCATAATGGAGTTATAAGAAGGTTAAAACGAAAATAAAGTGAAATCATTACCAGAAAAAAACACAAAACAAAAGCCGACAACATCAACAACAAAAAAAATCCACAATGAAGAAATTGAAATGAGAGAATTGAAATCCACAAGCCTGGCTGGGTTTAGAATGAGCAAGCAATGTGTGTTCCCTAATGTCAGCTTCCAGGGATCCCAGATTCCCAGGGCATATTTTGGGCTTTGCTGTGCCTGTTATCAGCAGGATTCTCTGGGAGATTCACCCACTGAAATGGGCGTTATTCCTGAATTATTCTTTCATGTCCTGGCATACCAAGGCCTTACTGGAATCCCATCCCACTCTGGCAATCAAAACCCTGTGACAGAAATGAATAAGAATCTTCCCTCCCTATTTGCCCTCTGAAATTTGGAAACCTCCTGAGTGTTTTGGGAAGCAGAGAGAGAAAACTCCGAAACTAAAACATTTGCACCGGATTTGGGGTGTAAGGAATAAAAAGTGGGTTTGTTTGAAGAAGAAATAATATTAAATTCTACAATATTTTTGTGTTGGTTTTGTTCATGCTGTTTTTAAAAAAATAACTTTACAGGTTGAGCTACTTCAAGTGTTTTGTTGTTTTTTTTTTCCCCAGATTTCTGGGATATTTCTCACCAAGAAGGTGCAGTGGGTTGGCTGCCAGGGCAGCAGACCAGAGCTGAGAGGTTACAGCTGCTCCCTTTGGAAGCTGTTCCACACCCTCACTGTCCAAGCTGCACTGAGACCAAAAGCCTTGCTAAATACAGGTAAACAGCGCATTTTTTGTTTTTTTTTTTAAATCCTCAGTTAATACATCTGTGGCTGCAGGTCTGTACCAGCAGGGGTCAGAGCTTTGCTGCAGCTGGAAGGTTTTGAAAACCCCTTCTCCTGGCTGGGAAATGCGGTAAATAAAGACTGTGGCCCTAAAGCTGGGAGTGATAAAGCAGAGGGGAAAAAGAAAAATAAATAAAATTCAAACAAAAGAAATTCTGAGCTCCCTGAAAAGGGATGAAAATGATTCAGGTCACCTGAGGTTACACTGGGAATTCAATTTGAGAAGAATGAGATTTAACCGTAGAATTTAGTAGCTGTAAAGGATGTCCAAGCGTTAGCTGATCCCTCTGTAATGTTATTTATTAAATACTGAATGTTATGACTGTTTTGGGTTGTTGTTTTTTATTTTCAGCTGAATGTACCTGTCATTAATCTCTGCAGTGATTTACTGCTTTGGCAGCACTCTGTAAAATTGCTTGTTTTTAGACTTGCAGCATCTTGTGAAGCAGAGTGTTAATATTCTGGTGATGATTCCCATTTAAGAAACATGCTGGATATATAATCTATTCTCCTCACCCAATGAAAACAGAATTATTAATGCTAAAATACTGGCCTCCATATATTTTTATTCTTGCCAGGACAGTACTGTATTTGGTTACAATTCTATTTAGTTCTCATTTAAAGCCTTTTAAATGTCTTTTCCAAGGAATATGAGAATTCTAGGTGGACTTTTCCTAAACCATAAACCTCAGAAATCTGCAATTTGCCAGTTGCTAATTATTTTATTATTTCAAACTATAGATCCGTGAATTATTTGCAAATCTTTCAAATCTTAATAATTCTCCTGGAAGAATTATTATATAGGGATTTTTTGTTGTTGTTTGTGATAGCGAATCAGCCTGTTGTTTATTTTTGTTGTTCTCTTTGTTTCTCATGGGACAGTGGGTTAAATCTCTTCCATTCAGTGCTGTGACTTCGAGGGGTTTGCACTTGCATTAAGTTAAATTCCCTTTTTGTCCCACTTGGCAAAAGTCCCCTGATTAAATCTAAAAAAATTCCCAATATTTAACAGTGCAAAATCACCCCTTAAATTATGTGTTTCGAGCCTGGAGCCCAAACCTGAAGTTGAAAAATGCGTGGCAGGACCTGAGAACTCTTTGGCACAGCTAACCCTGGCTGCGAATCGGGGGCAGGGATGTGCTGATCACTTCTTACAGCCAAAGAATTGGGTCAGTCTGAGACTGTGGGATTATGTCTTGGGGAAGGTTTGCCTCTCCTTATTGCTTGCTTAAATCCCATCGACTAAAAAGCATGATGTGCTCCCCTAATCCTGCCCACCACCACAGGTAGGGGTTTTTATGCTTCTTGTCCACTTTAAAGATTAGGGTTACCCTGAATTGCAGGGAGTTTGGGGAGGAGAGAGAGAGGAAAGGAGGATTACACGATGATGATACGTGGCAGATGTTAATAGAAGATCCATCTCGAGGGGGCTGAGAAAAGAAAAACAAACAAAAGGAGCTGTTTTGCGGTGTTTGTTTTCTTTGCCTCCTCGGGGTGAGCTCGCTGTGGGTTTAGGGAGAAAATGCCTTTATTGGGCTGCACTTGGAATATTTGAATGGGGAAGGGGGAGATGTTGAACCTGCAGCATGAGGGATCCGAGCTGCTCACACCCCAGGACGTGTCAATTGACTGCAGACATCGAGTCCTGAGCACACTTAATTATAAAGGAATGAGTTTTTGATAACAGGATCTGTTGGTGTGAATAAGGCAGGCTTGGGGATTTCATAATGAATTATCTGGATTCTTTTCTTAATCTCGTGGTGAATTGGAAAGGTCTCCCCACAGAATGAATTTTCAGGAGTTTAACAGATATAATGAAATTTCTGTGTGAATTATTTGCAGGTAGTTACTTTGGTTGTGTTTGGTGTTGTGGGGTTTTTTTCTAAATACATATTTCAGTGTGAATAATAAAACTGTTCTGCCTGAAATTTCGTTTCAACTTTTCAAAATGATTTTCCAGCCCTTTCTTTTAATACAGTAATTTAATCTGCTTTAATTTCACAGCTTTTATTTATACATGTCTGTTCAATCACAGATATTGAGGGGGCTGAGGAGGGATTGGTTACTGTTTAGGGTTTCTTTTTGGCTTTAAAGGCTTCTTTTTGCTGCTGGGTTTAAGAATACTGTGATGTTATTCTAAATAAAGCTCTACATGTATTTCTTATACAGATAACAATAGTGCCCTGATAGTTTGAGCAGCTTTTTCGAGGCTTTTTTTTTTTTCTTCCAAAAAACAATGCAATAGTAAATTATTCCAGTGTTCAGCAGCAGGAGGCTGTAATTTGATCAATCTGCACCATAAAATGTGTTTAATTTGACAAGTGTGTGTTCCTGGTAGCACACGGTACATTTTTAAATGCATTTTGACATAATTTACTGGGTCAATTAAGCATGAATCAGAAATTCTGCGAGACAGAGATGAAACCATTAGGATTTCAACAAATTATGTCAGGTTTTCAAGCCTCTTGGAGATGAAAGAACTACCTGCTGACACAGTAAAGGCCACAAAGTTCTCCATCTGGGGAGACCTTCTTTTACTTCAGAATTAATTATTAGCTATGTAGTGTAAAAATATGAGTGTTACAGAATAATAACGTGCTTGTGTTTATTTTAGGAGGGATTCCTGATGCGCTCTTGGAAGTGCAAACGTTGCTCAGCAGCTGTTCTGGGGGTGCATTCGGTGCCTGCCAAAAAAGCTGTGGGATTAATAAGTGTAATGAAATTCTGGTGCTCAAATTCCTCAGGAACACACAGGCATCACAGGCACCTTGGGAAATACTGACCTGAGGGGGGTTTGACTCCTGATTTTCCAGCAGAAGGATCGCCAGAACTTCAGTGCCTGGCCATAAATGCCATGAAACTCATTCCCTGGTAGTTGTGTCTGACACCCCAGCCAAGCTTTCCAAACAGTGTGTTGTGGAAAGCCCTGTTTGAGAGCACTCTCAGCTCTATTTATTGCCAAATAATTTTGCTTCTAAATGTCTCACCTCAACTACTTAAATATAGATGAACTACTTAGTGACAATATTATATATGTATTTTGTGGGAGGGGCTATTTCTTCAAAGACCTGTGTGAAGCTTTTAGTCTCTCTAAGATCTTTGTGACTTATTTTTATATAGATCCTGTGTGGTGACACTTGTGCCCTGGGTATCTTTAAGTTACAAAAGTGGCTGTTTTTAGAGCCAGGTGTAAATTTGCACAGAACAAGAGTGGTGGAACATTTTCCCCTGGCTCACTGTGATGTTGAAGTGCCTGTGTTGGTCCAGAGGGGGCCAAAATAAACCTGTCCCCTCGTGTTGTTGCAGGTCTCGAGGACAACCCCCAAGTTGTGCTGCAGGTGATGAGGAGGTACATCCACCACTTCTTTGGGTGCAGGGCTTGTGCTCAGCACTTCGAGGAGATGGCCAGGGAGTCCATGGATTCCGTGAAAAGCTGGGACAAGGCCGTGCTGTGGCTCTGGGAGAAGCACAACGTGGTGAACAACAGGCTGGCAGGTAGGGAGGGAGACACCTCAGGGACTGCTGATGTGCCTTTGTGGGATATAATGACAAAACCCCATTCCCAAAGGGAGTTCCTTCTGGAATTTCACCTGTTGCTTGAGGAGAGGATCTTCCTGGAGTCCAAATCAAAACCTTTTTAAGGAGGTACAATGAAAGTGGATAAAAATTAATCACATTTCTTTCTGTAAAACTTTAAATAGAGGTGAAAACCTGGCTTTGTTTTATGCTGGAGCGACGCTGGATGGAAAAATATAATTGAACAAGAGACTTTCTCAGGATAAAAGAACCTGAATTATTGGCAGATCAGCAGTGGAATAAAACAAAATTAGTGTGTGAGGGAAATCTGTGCCCCCTCTAGATCATTGTGTTTTCACTTAGACTGAAAGTGCTGTTAAAATACTGGTTGTGTTTAATCCCTTCTGTTATGGGGGTATCAAGTAACTAAAGCACTAAAGAAAATTGGTTTCTCTTTGCACTAAATCCCTGTCTGCTGTTATGGATCTGGGTAATGTAGCATTGGTTACAATTTAAATATGCCACATTGTGTTCATGTTATGGTCCTGCTGAATTCCCCAGATTTATGAAGTATTAAATACTGTTGTGAGCACAAACGGTTTGGTCTCCTTGCTCCGAGGGGAAGAAAAGGAAATGATAAGGGATTTAAATGAAAAAAAAAAACCCCACACACCCCCCTAATTTTTGGTTCCAATTGCTGAACGCAGAACCAGGTGACTCCTCTTGGCTTGGGCTTGCTAAGTGGTGCAGCAATACACTTATTTAGAGCATTAAGGGATTGGAAAACTCCCAGGGATATTGATTTAGGGTGATGCAACAGCCAGCAAAAATACCCTTTCAGTAAGAAGTAGAAACCCCCTGGAATAAATAACAGTGTTAAAGTGGGCTTTTGAAGTTTGCTAAAATCTCTCCATGGGACAGTGATGTATTTTCAGCCTTAAGAGCTCTGGAGTTGTGGCCACACGAGTGGCTTCCAGTGAGAAATGATGTTTGGGCAGTGAAAACACCTTGGGGTGGGGCAGGAGCTGCTTGGAAATGGCTCTGCCCTGGGGGATTATTCCCTGTTGCTTTAGAAGGGGCAGGATTGACAGCATTTCCCTCTTTGGCAGCAAAACACGAAGCACGGGGAATTTTCTGTTTGTGACCTCACGATTCATAATGATTCGTTGTGTTCCTGCTTTCTCTGTTGAAACAACTTGATTACTGAGTGATCTGGAAGATAAAAAGGCAAATTTGCTCTCTTGCTTGTACATATCAAGAAGACACATTTTTAAGCATCCTTTGAATCCCTGTTTTACTCAAAATTGTGGGGAAGCTTCCTGCCTTTAAAAAAACCATAAAATAATAATAATAATACGAGGGTCTGTCTTTCTTAAAACATTTTAAATATTAATGTACTAATAACCACCAACTAAATAAACCAGCTTTATCTTGCAGGGGGTTTTTTCCCCAAAAATTATCTCCATCCACATAACATTTTCAAATGTTATTTTTTTAGAGCAAAAACGTGACACCAGCTCCAGCCTTCAGCTGTGAGCGTCCGAAATGCCCAAACTGGATCAAAATCAAGACAGCACTAGAGGTTTAAAGGCTGAAAAAAAAAAAAAAAAAAAGCTGAAAAATACATCTTTAAATATAAGAATGGGGTGTGTTTCTACTGCTAAAACCAGTTTGCTCTGGTAATAATGCCCAGCTGTGGAAGAGCAAGCTTAGGATGGAATGATTCACAGCACAGAAACATGAAAATATCAGAGTCTTTGGCCTTGAAGCTGCTCCTGCAGCCCAGGCAGAACGCAGGGATTAAAGAGCACGGAGTGAAAAAAGAGCAGTTCGTTTTGCACCATAATTCAGGTTTAACCCTGAAGGGCCCAGATGGCCCTTCCTGCCTCCTGACAGCAGCAACTGCAGGAGCTCAGACTGGGATTCCAGGGCTGCAGCTTTTCCTGGGAGAAAAGGCAAACAATTATCCTTTGGTGTTTGTATTTGGAAATATTTCAGGTCACAATTGGTGCATCCCCGAGGAAACTTCCTGAATTTGCTTGTGATTGTCTTGGTTTCATATACAAACATTTTTGTGCTGTGGGGGGGTGTTTTTTGATTGTGAGTGGGAAATGCTCTCTGTGGGGTTTCAGCTTTCCCCAGTTCATTCCCTGATTTTTATTCTGACATTGATTTTTACTGTGTTTTTTTTTTTTTAACTCCTCCCAATCAGGCGATTTGACCGAGGATCCGAAATTTCCCAAAGTCCAGTGGCCGACTCCAGACATTTGCCCTGCATGTCACGAGGAAATTAAAGGCCTGCACAGCTGGAATGAGGAGCAAGTCCTGCAGTTCCTGAAATCCCACTACGACAGTGCCAACATCCTCTACAAATACACCGAGAGCCAGACTGACCCCAGTGACCCCGAGCAGGGAGACAACAGGGATGGGAAGGACAAAAACCTGCTGAAGAAACCAGGGGGAAACAGAGAAAATAAGATCCAGGAGAAGGAAAACCCGGGAGATCCGGGCTCCAAGGCCTTGGAGAAGCCAGCGGGGAATCCCGGAGCTGTCCAAGGTAGCGGCAAAAACGCGGCGGCCTCGGTGAACCTCAAAGAGGTCAGGCAGGCCGTGTCCTTCCTGGGGATTGGCTTCTCCAACATCGACATGAGCCTCTGTGTCATCCTCTACGTGGCCTCCTCCCTGTTTCTGATGGTCATGTACTTTTTTTTCAGGATGAGGTCCAAGAGGTGGAAGGTGAGGTATTCCCGGGCCTCGGTGTAGGGAGTGCTCCGTGTTCGTGGCTGTTCCCAGGCACAGCTTTAACCTTTCTGATCAGGGATTTTGTACCCAGTGTTCCTTGTGGCAGAGCCCCCGAGGCATTTGCAGGTGGTGGGTGTGAGGAGCTGGCTGTGGGGAGCCCGAGGCACACGTGGCTGTGCTCTGGAGGGAGCGTTGCATGTGGCAGCGAGTGCAGATTTTTCCATGACTTACCACCGACATCCTTTACTCATTGTCAGAGTAAACATTGCATTATGCAATCCACTGTGCCTGCCGTGGGAGGAAATTGAATATTGTTTGGTGAACTTCCAGTCAGGGGTTATTTTTATTTTTTAGTTTATTCCAGAGGTGGTTTCACCTCCCCGAGTTCTGAACAGTTCCAGTGGTACTTTGGCTGCTTCTTTTGGAGGAGCAAGAATTCAATTCTGAGTTGGTTTTTTGTTTGGGTTTTTTTTTTTCCAGGAAACGAGTTTTATTCTGATTAAACCATTTCTAAACCTCTGTGACTTTCTGAAACATTATTTCCATGGCATATTTAAAGGGCAAAGCATTCTGTGTTCAAATCATTCTTGTGTATTCCAGCCAAGGATGTGTGTGTGACTGCCTGGGTGTGAGTTTTGGGGCAGTGTGTCTCAATTAGCAGCCTGATTCTGATTGCTGATGGTCACCATTTTATTGGAGATTAAGGTGTGAGCAAGGACACACTTGGACCTGGTGCTTGACTTGCTCCACTATTGGATGTGCTAATGGAGCATTGGATAACTCACCTCATTTATGAACCAGGAAAATAGCTGAGTAATTATCTTGTTATCCAGGTGGAAGCCAATCCTGAGGAACTCTTCCCTTGGCATTTCCAGCTCTGAGCTCACAGAGTGTCACCTGCCAGCTGTGAATTGTCTGTGCAGTGCACAGAACAGCCCTTCCCTCCCTCCCTGCTTCTGGAATTCTCCTGCTGGAGTCAAGAAGGGCTCTCTGAAGGTGAAGGGCAGAGCTGCTCCTTTCTGGGAGGTGGCAGCAGGTTGGGATTGTGGCATTTTCCTTTACAGCTCAGTCTGGGGGCCTGGTGGGCAGCAATTAGAAGAAACCCTGAAAACAACTCTAAAGTTACCAGTGGGAATAGGAGTTGCTGTGATCCTGGCTGGGGGGGATAATTCACGTCCTGGATAGTGAAGTTTATAATCCTATCCCATGTAATTGAGCATGTTCTGGTTATCCATTACCTAATCTTTAGTTAATCCTAATAGGTTTTGGCCTCAATGTTTTCTCGTGGCAGTGAGTTCTCCAGATTAATTATGTTATATAAAAAGGCTTTTCCTTTCAATTCTACATATGCAACTTTTAATTTAATTGAATGTTTGCTGGCTCCTCTGTTACACGAGAAGGAATAAGGAGTCTCTGGCCAATTCCCTGTGTTTATGCCTTTAGTGGGTCCTCCTCTGGTTTCCCTCATAAAGCCCCAGCATAGAAAGTTTAAAACCTGGCAACAAGAGTGATCTAAAAAGCACAAGGTTTGTTTGGGTTTTGTTTTTGTTTTTTTTTCATAATCAAATCTTGTTTGTTCACAAAACTGAGTATTTCTGACGTGTTTCTGCAATTTCCACTTGGAGTAACAGAATTGAACTTCGGGGATTCGCTGTCCCCTGTTGCTTTTGACTCCCTCCAGCACCTGGGTTTGGATATTAAAACACCCTGTAAGCAACTGGAATGATGGTAGAAGGTGGGACAGGCTCAGTGCAGGTTGGTTTGGGCGGGAATCCAATGAGAGATCCCAGGAAGGAGGAAAACCTGGAGATTCCACCTTTAGTTTTGAAAATCAGGCAACTTTGAAGTGACCTGATCTGGGCAGGTGTTCTCATCCCACAGGCAAGGACATTCAGCTTTTAAAAGTAAACCCAAGCACCCCAAAACCCCCCTAAGCCAGCACAGCAGTGTTGGATCTAGGAAACTGGGCCTTTTCCTGTGGGACCGTTGAATTCCTGCTGTGGGAATTGCTGAAAATCAGTCACTGCTGCTGTTGATTGGAATTCTCCCGCATTTAGAGACCTGACTTGGTTAGCTTTGACGCCTTCTGCTCATGAAGGTTTTTTGGGATGATTTTGCCTTTCAAAATCAGCAAATGTGTGTTTGGAATAAGGTGGGGGGGATTTTGCCACCCACCTTTAACTTCCACATTGCTGCAAACACAACGAAAGGAACCAATAATCAAACTTCCAGTGGATTTTTAAGAGTGCAAAAGGATGAAATTAGGATGTTTCTTGTCTGTGCTCCAGCTCTTGCCAGTGAACCAGCCAAGGCTTTCCCTTCAACAACCTCATCTGGGCAGGTTTTTCCTCACTTTGAATTCAGTTGTGTAAATCTTGGTTTGCTCGTTCTTGTTTTCCACCTTTATCATGACAAATGGCATCGTTTTATGGCTGCGTAACGGCACAGTCTGTGCTGGGGGATGGGTGATGCTGCCAGGAAAGTGGTTCTGCTTTCAAAATTGCCTCCAGCCCCATCTCCTCACTCCTGGGGGGTTTATTTGTGTCCTGTGCTGTGCCACGGAGGTTCCTGCAATGCCCCTACTCTGTGCTGGGGCCAGACTGGTTCCAAGAGGGATTTCTTGGCCCTCTGTAGTTCACGGAGCTTTCTTTGCTCTCTGGATGTTTTTAAAGAGGGAATATTAACCCTGCATAGGAGTAGGATGTGCCAGGAGAGAGAGAAAAGCTGCAAGTGCTAAAGAAACCTAATAAAGTTATTCCTGAGAACTGCTAATTTCTGATGTCCAGCAGTGCGTCCATCCTGCTGTTCCTGCTCAGAACTGGATGGGAACAGAAATCCCGGGTGTGTTGTCTCAGTCTGTGCTTTGCACACGAGGTGTTGGAAATAGTGACGATACCATTGCAGTAATTTAAATGTTCTATTTATTTGAATTCAGTAACTTGACATTTTTTGAGTCTGTTCTGGTTTGCTTTGGTTGGTTTTTTTACTGTCTCGTTCCTCTCTTGGAAGGACAAGTGACTGTTTTGTACTAAAATGTAAACTAATGTGCTTGTTTAAAATAAATTGCAAACATTTGGGCAAAGTGGTGTGTTTGGGCTCTTTACCTGTGTTTTCCAACTGGTTTTTAGTTTTCAGTTTGTTTTTAGCTAAACTGTGTTGCCAGGATTGCCCATGCCCCTGCCTGTGTCAAAGCACAGCCATCATCTTGTGCAGGTGTTTAATTCTGAGAACACCTTGACTCTGTTTCTGTCACTGTTATCCCATAAATTCCTGAAATGTCAGGGAATGTTTGGCACTGAAACTCCTTTCCTGGCTGGCCCCTGACCTTGGCTGGGAACCAGCAATGTTCCCATGGGGAACTTGAGGACTGGGCTCACCACCTGAATCCCTGAGGACAAACCTGGGCATCGTCCCTGCTGGGGCAGGACCAGACCTGTCCTGACCACCCAGACTCGGGCCATCTGCTGCCTCCTGGTGAAGAGATACCAAAGAGTGTCCTGGGACCACTCAGTTCATGGTCTGATGCTGTTCTGGGGACAAGTCCTACAAAAACTGGCACAATTTCATGGGAGGGAAGGGCGGTGCAGCCTCTGGGTCTGGTCATAGAAGAGCCAACAGAAAGGAACAGGGAGGGGAGTATTTTTAAGCCCAGGAGAGCACAGGAGTGTGTGCAGGGAGAGATCACCTGAGGGGCTTTTGTGGGGTGATGGTGTCACAGCGTGAGAGACCACGGGGCTGGCGTGTGCCACGGGTGGTCTGAGTGGGAAACAGCCCCTCCCTCCCTCTGCGCCGTGCAGGGGGAACAGGCACCACCACACACCCACGTGTTCCTAAAGTGCTTCCTTAGGGGCTCAGACAAAACCCACTTTAAAACTGAGCTTAAAAGCGACCCCGTGGGCCATCACCTGCCCCCCCCAGGAGCTGTTCGTGGACCTGTGGTGCTGGTGGTACCTGTGCCACTGCAGCACGGTCACAGTCCTGCTCCAGCAGTGCTGTACCCGCACCCCAACTTCACTCTGCCTTCTGGGCTGAAGTCCCTGCAGGTAAAGGATTTGATTCGATTACCTCCTCCGTTGTGGTTACTGCATAGCCTGCCATTCTTACTCCTTGTTTCACAAAGCTGCTGCCATCCGAGAACCAGTTGTCCGCATCTTCAAATGGCTCCTCCTTGAGATCAGGGCGACTGGAATAAACTGCTTCGATCGTTTCCAGGCAATCGTGTTCGATGGGTTCCGCCGGGATTCTTCCTTCTAGAAATGAGGCTGGGTTCACAATATTAGTCACTTGAATGGTTATATCGTCTGATTCAGCTAGGATGGCTTGATATTTTAGGAATCTTGAAGGTGATAACCAATGGTTACCCTTTTGTTCTAGCACTGCTGAGACAGTGTGAGACACCAACACAGTCATTTTCTGGCCTAATGTAAGTTTTCTGGCTTCTTCTATGTTTATGATTACTGCAGCCACTGCTTTTAAACAACCAGGCCAGCCTTTGCTCACTTCATCCAACTGTTTGGAGAAATAGGCTACAGCTCTCTTGTGTGGTCCCAACTGCTGTGCCAACATTCCTAGAGCCATCCCTTGCTGTTTGTGAGAGAATAACCAAAACGGCTTGTTTACATCTGGAAGGCCCAAAGCTGGGGCTCTCCTGAGTTCTTGTTTCAGTCTCTTAAAAGCTCCCTCTGCCTCGGGAGTCCAGACTAGGGTACTCGTAGTTTCTTTTAGTAAATTGTACAGTGGTCTGGCAAGTACCTTGTATTGATAAATCCATAACCAGCACCAACCTGTCATTCTTAGAAAGGCACATAGATCTCTCACCGTCTCTGGTCTGGGATTTGGCAGATGGCCTCTTTTCTCGCTGTTCTTAGGGATCATTGTCCTCTGGAGATTTCATATCCCAGGTATATCACTTTTTCCTGTACTAATTGTGCTTTCTGTAGAGAGACTCGATATCTATTTAAACCCAAGAAGTTTAGCAGGGAAATAGTCCATTTAATGCACTCTTCTTCCGTCTCAGTTGCTATCAATAAATCATCCACATATTGTAGAAAGGTACCATTTCCCTGTGGCCTTTCCCATTGTTCTAATTCTTTGGCCAATTGGTTTTCAAAAATTGTGGGACTATTTTTGTAACCTTGAGGCAACACAGTCCAAGCTAATTGAGTCTTTCTCCCTGTTTTAGCAGATTCCCATTCAAAAGCAAAAATTTTCTGGCTTGCTAGAGCTAAGGTTAGGCAAAAGAATGCATCTTTTAAGTCTAATACTGTGAACCATTTTAAAGTTTCCCTCAGTTTGGTTAGAAGAGTATAAGGATTTGCTACTACTGAATGTAAGGTTTTTGTAATTTCATTTACTGCTCTTAAGTCCTGGACTAATCTGAATGTCCCATTTGGTTTCTTAATAGGTAGGATTGGTGTATTGAAATCTGATTCACACTCTACTAATAGTCCTAGTTCTAAAAATTTTTCTATTATTGGCTCAATTCCCTTTCTGTCCAATCAATATCTTGGTTCTTTGCCAATAATTCAAACCTTCTAGCTACTCCCTCTGGATTCTTTCTGAAGTTTCTTGCTTCTTCTCTCCAGCTATTTAAATCACTTGTTGTACATGGTACTTTTATTCGTGCTTGTTCCCCTGCAATAGGCATTATCCTTCTGAGGGGAGCTATCGTATAATTCTCTTCATTCCTCTCTTTTGCTTCTTTCCGCGCTGTAGATCTAGTGTAATATGAATAACTGGTCCCCTCCCCAGGATCCTCTTCCTGGGTTTCTGTATCTGTTCTATTCTTTTCTGTTCTCTTTCCTCGTTTTCGTTCTTCACTTTCACTTTCCAAACCATCTGCCAAGTCATCCTCTACTAATTTCCTGGCATGGTTTACGCAGTCCAGCCGCCTCTCCTTCTGTATTTGGATGAGACGCTGACGGCGCTCAGCCTGCCCTGAGACACTGTTTTCTTCGTCTTCTTCTCCCTGCATATTTCTCTTATCCTCTATCTGAATGACTATATTTAATTTCTGTGAGTTGTTTGCTTTTTCTCCCAGGTTTGTTACATCATTATTTTCCTCGCTGTACTTTAACTCGGGGAGACCAATCTCCCTTCTGGTGCTCCCTGATCTCGGCGGGCTACTTTCATTTTCATAATTCCCAGTCTTTGGCGTACTGCTCTCTATTTCGCAGATGCCTGACCGTCATGAGCTGCTTATATCTCTCAGTGTACTACAATTTCTACTCTGGCTACCCTCTAGTTTGGGCGGGCTTTTCTTTTCCCCACGACCCTCCAGCTCTAGTCGTGACAGGCTGCTTTCTTCCCTATCACTCTCTGACCTAAATGGACTGCTTTCTTCTCTGTAACTTCCTAAATCTTGCGGGCTGCTCAGTCTCTGTGAGCCACTCTCCCTTCCGCAACTTTCTGATTTTGATGGGCTACTCCCTTCCCAACTATTTTCTGATCTTTGGGGGCTGTAATCGGTCCTGGACCTGTCTTGTTCTAATGACATATACCCTAGTAGACTAGTGTCTCTCTCGCCTTCCCTTCGCTTGGGTGGAGGCACTCCATATCCTGGGGCAAATGGCTGATACTCCCACAGGCTTATTTCACTTTCTTTTCCGCTATCCCTTCTTGTTCATTTAAGGCATTGTTGTCCGATACTACAAGCTTCACAGCAGCGCTCCTTAGGTTTTGAGTTTTTCTTATCCTTTTCTAAGGCTAATACTAGGGGATCTTGGGGTGCTACATTTACTCCACATTCTTTCTGCCATTCTGGTTTATTTCTTAGGGTAAAGAACATGTCACAGTAAATCACTTCGTCCCACTTGTTTAGTCGGCGAAGGAACACCATAAGTTGTAAAAGTGTGTTATAATTAATTGTTCCCTCTGGGGGCCACTTTTCATCCTCATCTAATTTACACAAAGGCCACCATTGTGTACAATATTTTAAGAGTGTTTTCTTACTTATTTTTCCCCCTGGAATCGCCCCTAAATCTTTCCAATGCTTCAGAACACACCCTAAGGGGGTTTTCATGTTTATATCTTTACTTTGTTGTCCTCCCATTATTACTTTCTGGATTTATCCCTTAATTCCTAACCAGGTTTTTCTTCATGTTAGTATTTCATGCACACAATTTTCAATCGCTTCGTCCGTCTCTGGCCTGGCTTCTCGCGAAGGACAGGAACCACAGATTAGGACTCCCTCTCGCTTCGTAGCAATGCTACATCTCAGTCACTCTCAATCACACCTGCATATCTTAGATAAAACGTTCCTACCTTTCGGTTTGTATTTACGCAGACTGCTTTACTACGGGAGGTCGTAAGATGTCACTCGCAGACCGTGAGATATTGTTTTGCCGCGGAGTATACAGCCAAAGTGTTACAAATACTTGCTTATGAGTGTTGGTTTTCCGCCAGATCCTGATTTTGCAAGGACAAATTTATCTCAAGATTCAGGTGCGCAGTTTTTCACCTTTACAAAATTTTGCGCGTTATCATTCCCCATATAAAACTGTAAAACATACTATAAAATGCACCTTTGTAAAACCTCTTTACAAGCGGTAAACAGAACTTTTTCTCTATACCTTTAAATTTCAAACAACATGTTAGTAAGAAATTCCTCACGTTCTAAAAACCTCTTCTCAAGGATAATTGTTGGAAACGTTCCTGGACTTTGGTTGGAAATGTTCACGAACCTTGGAAACAATCCTAGATCAGTTAGGAAATATCTTTTTCCTTTTAACTCTTAAAGCACAACGTTAAACATGTTATGAGACAAAACCAGTCACATAGGATGCCGTTTCAGTAGAATTTTAACCAGCCTGGGCCTCTAACCCAGCTTTGGCGGGACTCTAACCCGCTCTCCTCTATACCTGGGCCTCTAACCCAGCTTTGGCGGGACTCTAACCCGCTCTCTTTTATACCTGGGCCTCTAACCCCGTAGGGATTAATGCCAGGGCGTCCCCTTGGCTTTCCCTGGGCGGTGACGTCTCACCCCCGTCTCTTAATAGAGCGCTCTTAATTTAAAAACATATTAAATAAAATACCAGTTAATTTGAAGCAGGAGATCTTGTCCACCGTTGCGTGTAGGTCCGAGGGGTCTGGGAGTCTCTTTACCGACAAAAGATCCGTCGGGAGAGTCCCTGGGCCCCCCAGGCCACAGCCTTGGGAGACAGAGAACCGTCCTGCCACGGTCGCCAAATTGAAGCCGAATTTTTGCCCCAAAAAAAGCACAAAAGACTACTTTAGAGACAAAATTTGTTTCTTTAAAGCAGGAGGTATTTTAATGCAACGCGTTGGAGAGTTCCCAGGTTGCCCTGGACAAAGAACTCTGTCGAATACATTTAGCACAGCTCTTTTATACAATCTTAGAGTATAGGATTATATCACAAACATGCATATTCATTAAATTGCAACATCTACTTGTAATATTCATATATAGGCGGAGTCTTTAATTTGGGGAGGTTTAGAGGTGGGAGTTCCTGTAATCTTCATCATGGGCAGTGGTCGTTCATCATCTTCCTCATTCTAAACTTTTGAACTGTCCTGAAATCTTTCCCTAATTTGGATAGTTTGCAAATATGATAGGGTCAGGTTGACTTTTTTTGGCTCGTCCTAAGATTCTCTGATGTTGTTATCTCTGTTTTATGCTTTGAATGTTCCATCTTGTCAGCTTGTTCTGTTCCTCAGAGAATTTCTTATTTCTGCGGTTTTCTGATACTAAGGTTTTGGAGCTATTTCCACAATTTTGTGTTTAACCTTTTGTTTTTCAAAGACTGCCTCAGAGACTGCTTCATTTGAGGGGCTTCAGTTGGGTGCTCGGTGTGGAGCTCCCCGGGTGCCCCCACGAGCGGGCGAAAGTCCCGGTGCTGCCGTCGGCAGGAGCATATGTGTGTTCGGAGCTCCCGCCCCTAAGCTGCTTTTATTAATTTGTAATCCCCTGCGAGCAGGAGGTAAAGGGATTCGGGGGATTAACAGGCTCACAGTAACAACCACAATTATCAGCTCCGGCTGCCTGGGGCAAGCGGGGCACACACGCACGGGGCTGGCGGTGGCACACGCGCAAAAACACAGACCCGTGAGCCCCGTGGACGCACCGACACCCTGCACACACGGACACCCGTGTGAGTACAAAAACCCCACACAGCCCGACAGGCACGCCCGACATGATCCACGGGCTGCCATGCGCGCACAAACAAGGGCACACGCACAACCACACCTGCAGCTCTGCTACCCACGCAGCGCACACGCACACACACGTCCCTGTCCGCCCCGTCCTCAATCAGCGCAATTAAGCTCCTGCTGGCGCCGCGCGCCGCTGCCCGGGGGTTGGACACCCGCTACATCTCCGTGCTCATTAATTAATTAGCAGAGGGGGAAGAGCCCCCCCGCTCCCCACGGGCGGCGTTGGAGGAGACCCACAGACTGCGCTGCGGGGACAAACGAAATCCGGGCGTGGGGGCTGCTGGGGCACGGTGGGACCCGGGAGGAGTCTCCCCCTGACGGAGGCTCCCCCTCCCCGCTCCGTGTGGGCTCCGGGGGGCTCAGGGGGGTCCCGAGGGCCACTTTGCCCCCTCGGGTGGCTCCCACAGCCCGAGCCCACGCGTCGGGAACAGCAGCCCCGGCCATGCGTGGGCCGGGGAGGGGGGGAGGGAGGAGGTGGGCAGCGCTCCCCCCGCCGCTTTTGTGATGCTAAAGAGCCCGGCGCTGAACCGCGGCCCAGCTGCGGCCCCGGAGCCGCCCCCGGCCCGCCCCCCGCGCCCCCCCCGCCCCGCCCAGCCCCGCGCCGCTCCCTGCGCGCCCCTCCGCACCGCTCCGCCACTCCCGCGCCGCCGCCGCGCTCCTCGGACGGCGCCCACGGAGGCCGCGATGCTGCTGGAGCGGGTCCGCGCCGGCTCGGAGAAGGCAGCGGAGCTCTGCCCCTTCCCGCGGAGCCCAGGTGAGGCGGGGGCGCGCAAACCTCCGCGTCCCCCCGCGGAGGCGCCGCTGGGAGTCCCGTCTGTGCTGCTTCCCCCGGGCACCGTCAGGGCCGCGGTCGGGGTTGGCTGCGGGGCAAAGCGGGCGGCCCGACGGAACCGAGGGGTCCATCCCGGTCCGTCCCGAGCGCCCCACGCTCCCGCTCGCTCTTTCCTTCTCGTTCCCGATGTAGGAGACCCCCTCGCTGCCCCCCCGGCCGCTCCAGACGCCCGTTTGATTTCCCCAGTGGTAACGACGGGGCTGTCCCGGGCTCCCGGAGCGGCAACGACGGCAGGGACGAAACGGGGAGTTTTTGGTGCCCGATAGTTCCTCCCGACTGCAGGGACCCCCCGCGCCCCCCGCCCGGCTCCCACACGGATATTTCCGCACTTCGGAAAAAATTCCGTTAATTCTTCTCTCAAATGTTCTTTCCTCCCGTTTAACGAACGGGAACTGCCCTGTTGGGGCGGGGGGAACCGCACGGCGCTTCCCTGCCGTGCTGGGGACTCCACATCTCACCAGCGGTGGCACAACCGGGACTGGGACAGCGGGGCCGGCCCCGGTGCGGGGCCGTCCCGGTTCTCTCCAACAGCGACCGCGGCCGGCGGGGGCTTAAAAACTGGACAACGAGGAGCCGGCGCGGGGGCTCCGCCGGTGTGCGGAGACTGAGTTGTCACCGGCCGCGGGACGGACTCCGCATCCCCGCAGCCCCCGTGGTGGGGCTGATGCCCCCGGTCCTGTCCTGGCTCGTCTTTCCGTGGCTCTCCCCGTCGCCTCCCCGCGGCTCGGGATTTGGGCGTTTGACCTGGCAACCGGGAGCTGCTTTTGCCCTGCGGGGGTGGAGGCGACACCGCCGAAATCGGTACCCCCGCTAGAACGAACGACCAGAAAAGAACCGTTTTCCAGCAGGACGCGATGCTTGGTTTTGGCCCCGTGGTCTCCGGCTCCGTCGGGGAGGCAGCGGCAGGGGAGCGAGAGGGCTCGGTGGGGCTTACCGTGGGGATACCCGGGGCAGGGCGGTGGCAGGAGGTTCTCCCCGCCGTGGGGGGGCCGAGCCGTGCTGTGTTTGCTCGAGCCGGGGGCAAATCCCGGGTTTGCGGTTCACAACGAACCCGGCGCAGCGCCTGGCGCTGCCTCCCCCCGGCGCGACCCCCGCCCGCCGCCGGCCCCGTCGGGGTCGTTTCCCGGAGCCGGGAAGGGGCGGCGGGAGGGGATGTGGGGATGCGCCGCCGGGGGCGGGGGGGGATTAAATACAGCCCGCCGCGATGCCCTGCCCGGCGCTTCAGAGCGGCACCGGCGGGCAGGGCCGCCAGCTAAAAATAACCCGCTTTAGCGAATTAAATCCCCGGCGGCACGGGGGTGGCAGCGGCCGGGGAGGGGGGACACAACTGCCGCCGTGATTTGGGGTGGGGGGGAGGATCGGCGGGGGTGCGCGGCGGGTCCGCGCCCGGCCCGACCTCGGTAGCGACGGGGCGGGGGGCGGCGGAAGATGCTGCAGAGCCCGCGGCCCCGCTGAGCGAGCGGAGCTGGCCCGCGGACCGCGATGCAGCGTAAGAGCCCCGGGTCGAGCCGGGCTGAGCCGGGACCCCGCGGGGCTGTGCCGTGTTACCGCTGCCGGAGCTCAGTCCTGTCCGGAGCCGCTGCCGCTGTTGGGGTTGTTCGTTTGGACGCGGTGAATTGTTGAGGAGAACAAGATCACCTCCACCTCCACCCCTACGCACCCCGAGGCAGCTCTGTGTCTCCACATACAGTTGTCTTTACATATAGATGCTCTCGTGTCCTCATCTATCTGTATCTACCGCCGTGTCTATCTCTCTCCATCTCCATCTATACCGATATATCTGTATTTAAATATCCCATATTCATATTTTTACCTAAATATCTCTATCCATACCTCTATAACGAAATCTATGCATTTGTGTCTATGTATCTGTACATTTCGTTCTCTGTCTGCTGTATCTGTTTATTTTTATATCTCTATTTCTCCATGTCTGTATCTTTATCTCTTTCTGTCTCATCCCTGTCGGTATTTGCAGGGTGAAGGGACAAGCCTGCCGCGTTTTTATTTTCAGTGCAATTCTCGCAATTTTTGGTAGTTTCTTCTCTCACTCCACCCGGGCTACCCTGCCGTTATTTGAAGGTGAATTTTGGAAGTGCAGGAAAAGGGAAAAGAACTTGAAATAATTGCGGCTTTGCCGGCGGATCGGTCGGGGGGTTAATTCCGTTTCCATCACTTCCCTTCATGTTTTCCCGGGTGCTCCCGGGTGTGCTCAGCCCAGGGGCTCTCTGATCCCCTCCGAGCGGGCAAACGCTCACACGGCGCTGCAAAAAACGAATTTGAACGAATACTGGGGTTTTTCGGGCTGTTCCCCGGGCCACCCAGAGGGGCAGCGGCCCCGGGGGTGGCGGGAGGGGCCGGGCCGGTGTCGGGGGGCAGCGGGGCTGCCGGGGCTGACCGGAGCTGCCTCCCCGCAGAGATCCCGCTGTGCGCCGGCTGCAACCAGCACATCGTGGACAGGTTCATCCTCAAGGTCCTGGACCGGCACTGGCACAGCAAGTGCCTGAAATGCTCCGACTGCCAGACGCAGCTGGCCGAGAAGTGCTTCAGCCGCGGGGACGGCGTGTACTGCAAGGAGGACTTCTTCAAGTGCGTGGGGACCGCCCGGGACGGGACGGGACAGGAGGGGACGAGGGGCGGCCGGGACGGGTGGGGGTCTCAGCTCGGGCAGCGGCTCAGGGTGAGGGGGGAATTCAGCACCGGGACAGCGCCGGGTTCAGAACCGCGGACAGCGCCGGGTTCAGAACCGCGGACAGCGCCGGGCAGGGACGGGGATCTTCCCCCGGACACCCCCCGGCTCAGCGGCCGCCGCTTGTCCCCCCCGCCCAGGCGCTTCGGGACGAAGTGTGCCGCCTGCCAGCAGGGCATCCCCCCGACCCAGGTGGTGCGCCGGGCCCAGGACTTCGTTTACCACCTGCACTGCTTCGCCTGCATCGTCTGCAAGCGGCAGCTGGCCACCGGCGACGAGTTCTACCTCATGGAGGACAGCAGGCTGGTCTGCAAGGCGGACTACGAGACGGCCAAGCAGAGAGGTACCCCTTCCCCTTTCCCCTTCCTCCGAGGGCTGCAGGGAGGCGGCCCGGGGCGCTCCTGCCCTCTGGGACAGGCTCAAGCAGCGGGCGGGAGGGGTTGGGAGCATCTTGCCGTCGGGGGGTGGCTGTGGGGAGGTCGCGGGTCCCGCGTCCCGTGGTGACTTCACCTCCAACTCGCACCGTGTCGGCAGAGGCTGAATCCACGGCCAAGCGGCCCCGCACCACCATCACGGCCAAGCAGCTGGAGACCCTCAAAAACGCTTATAACAACTCTCCCAAGCCGGCGCGGCACGTCCGGGAGCAGCTTTCATCGGAGACGGGGCTGGACATGCGGGTGGTGCAGGTGAGAGCGGGGTCTGCAGGGCCGGGGGGCTCCGGGAGGGACAGACCCCGCAGCCCCCCGAGCTCCCCGGCGTGTCCCGCCCGCAGGTCTGGTTCCAGAACCGCAGGGCCAAGGAGAAAAGGCTGAAGAAGGACGCGGGGAGGCAGCGGTGGGGTCAATACTTCAGGAACATGAAGCGATCCCGGGGGACATCCAAGTCCGACAAGGACAGCATCCAGGAGGAGGGGCCCGACAGCGACGCCGAGGTCTCCTTCACAGGTCGGTCACCGGGCTGTTTTCACCCCCTCGGTGCCACGGGCAGAATTTTCAGACACGGTACAATGAGCGAAACCAAGCGCCCGGGGCGGGAGAAGGGCAGAGCTGGAGGGATTGACCGCGGCGCGGTCCCGGTGGGGGAACCGGAGCGGCGGGGACTGAGGAGAGGGGGGGACACTCCGCTGTTCCTCCCGGGGGATGTTTGTGTCGGGCGCGAAAAGCTGCGGGGACAGCAGGGAGAGCTCCCTGGGCAGGCGCTGCGATGTCAGAGCCGCAGCTCATACACTGCCTTTTCAAGGGACTCTTGGAAATATAAAAACCAGAGAGTTCAGAACCACTCAATGTTTTTACTGGGAAAAGTGTGCGAAAATTTAATTTTTTTTTTTTTTCATTTTAAATCTTTTTTAGGGGTGGTTTTATTTGTGTAGTTACTCGTTGGGAATCCTCAGCCCTGTGGGAGCTGTGGCAGCTGTGCTGCAAAAGGGAGAATTTGCTGCGTGTTGGGAAGGTTTCTGCGTCAGAGGGTCCTGGTTTTGAAGCGCAAATTTCTGTTGACAAATTCAGGGACATTCCCACAGCAGCTCCTGCCCTGCACAGCCTCATCCCGCACTCTCCAGAGCCGCGGGAGCAGGATGGGGTTGGGTGGGGAGGTCGGTGCCGGGGGCAGGTTCCGCACAGTGCCGGCTCCAGGCAGAGCTCCATCCCAAACGCGTGTGTGCCGTTTTTAGGGATAACGGGAAAAAACAAAAAGCAAACCTTTGTACATATTTACCCAAACACATCCATAATGTTTATGCACACACAGCTTTGCATCTCAACTCCTCTCTGTTTCTGAAAACTGTTTGATTTTCGAGTCTGTTTATGCACACACTGCACATCAGCTCATTAAATATGAATATTCTATAAATAATAACTAAAAAATGTGAACAGTTATTGAGAGCCCGATGCCACAAACAGGTTTGTATCCCAGGCAACAGAGCAGCTCTCACTGTCCATAAACCCCTAACAAATAAAACCAATTTTTGCTGGGTATTTAAAAAATGCTGCTCATTTTTTTCAGGAGTGTTTTTAAGTCTTACAAATACATTCTGGAACTGTGTTTTCATCAGCCTATTCCTGAGCAGAAAAATATCTCTATTTAATATATATATTTTTTTTTTTCCCTGAGAAATGGAGAGTTTTTCTTGCATTGGTGAATGTTCAGGTAGCTCCTAAAAATTATATCAAAATTCAGGATGAACCTCAAAGCCAAATAGAAACAAAAGGTGGAAAGGTATTGAACTCACTTTCCCTTTAAAGGATTGTTTTTAAATCACAGTCTTATATTTTAACATGTACTTTTCATGCATACTTTTAAAACCCAAATTGTGTTAGATGCTCGCACTGGGAAAAAAAATAATCATCCTGTGTCCTTCTATGAGGATCCGTCAGCAAGGATGGGAATAATAAGGAATTACAAGTGGGAAGAGCGGGACTGCTCAGCTCCCATCCATCTCATCTGTTTATACCCAGAGCTTGCAGGGGTTCCTGTGCAGCCACTGCCACCCTGACCATTGCTCCCCAGTAAAACCAGTCCATTTCCCTTTCAGATGAGCCCTCCATGTCAGAAATGAGCCATTCCAATGGGATTTACAGCAATCTCAACGAGGCATCCCCCGCTCTGGGGAGACAGGCCGGGACCAACGGGAGCTTTGCCCTGGATCCCAGCGGGATCCCGGCCCAGGACCAGTACCACGACCTGCGCTCCAACAGCCCCTACGGGATCCCCCAATCTCCAGCCTCCTTGCAAGCACTGCCAGGCCACCAGCCTTTAATCTCCAGCTTGGTTTACCCCGACAACGGCTTGGGCATGATGGGACAAAGCGGACAAGGGGTGCCCCAGCCCATGAGGGTCCTGGCTGGGAACGGCCCCAGCTCCGACCTGTCCACCGGCAGCAGCGGGGGGTACCCGGATTTCCCGGCCAGCCCGGCCTCCTGGCTGGATGAAGTCGACCACGCTCAGTTTTGATACAGGATCCACCACCCTGCAGTGGGAAGGGGAAGGACTCGGTGCTGTTGAACCCTTGGAATGATGGAAGGCCGGGCTGTGGCTGCCGAGTGGGGACACGGATGGGATTTCGGAGGGGACACGGCCTGGGCTGGCAGTGGCACCACAGTGAGTGGCATCCTGAGCGTCCAAACAAACTGCTTCTCGTGTCTTTAACTAAACACCAAGACTCGTGCTTTACAGATTTGATCTGAGGTATTTTGCTCTCTGTTGTCAGTGCATTCTCCAAGGCAAGGACTTGCTTCATCGCCCGCCCACACTGAGACGTTTTCAAGGGGAAATAAAAGTCCTCATCCACGGTGAAAGGTGTGACAGTGTCTATATTTCTATAGGAGAACTGTTCATAGTGAATCACTTCAGAAATCCATGGTAGGAAACTTCTCTGTTCTTCCAGCAGGTTTTTTAAAAGCGCACTAATGGTGATATGTTTTGGTTTATTTCGGATTCACATCCACTTCTCTAAAACGAAACGCTCTTTCACATGCCAATCACTCACCAACATTTTCCTTTGTGAAATGAAAATCATATGTTAATTCTGCTTCCCCCCCTTTTTAATTTGTAGATTGCTAGTTTGACTCTTCCATATGAGCATTAAACCGTGAATAGATGTATTTATTACCAGATAATTCCACGTTTATCACGGGGTCAGGAGGTGAATTTTTCTTGACCCAGGAACACTAATGGCTCTGGGCTGTGGGTCTTCTGCTTTTCCTTCCCATTTCTTTGCAACAGTTTTTACTGCAAAATGTCTCAACAATCACCCTGATGTCTTGTTGCCAAAATACCTTCTCGGGGGGGTCTCTCGGCGGGAGGGTTTGGTTGGTTTGATTCCTGCCATTCCCGAGGCACCGCTGGGAGTGTCGGAGCCAGCACAGGCTTTCCTGGGAACTCATCTCTGCTCCGGGCATTTGTGTATTCCCACGGATATGGTGCGAGCCGATTGTGAGGAAAGGCAAGACAATATGTATATTGTTATCTGTAAAAAAAAAAAAAAAAAAAAAAAAAAAAAAAAAAAAAAAAAAAAAAAAAAAAAAAAAAAAAAAAAAAAAAAAGGAATTAACTGTAGATTATGTGAATGTCCAGTGTCTTTTATTTATATTCTCGCTTTCTCTCTGATGATCAAATACTTCCAGGTTACAAATAAATTTGTCAGCTAAACTTTAACCAGTCTTTTGCTAAATTCACCTCGAAAGCATCAACGTAAGTAAATAAAACATGCTAATCTAAGAGTAAAAGCACTTAAACCTCGATGCCATGATCCAGCAAAGTGCTGAAATGTGCTTTCAATATTTTAATGTTGAAATATCTCTTCCAACAGAGGAGCAAACCCACCGAGGTGGAAAAGCTTCAGAAGAAAAAAATGACATTTTTTAGAGGCTGGCAATCCTTGGATGATCTGAAGGGGATTGCTCTGGGCACACACAGACTTTGATCATGGTCTGGCTGGTTTTGATGGGTCCTGGTTATTTTTTAGCGTTCATCCCAAAGGTGGAAGCAGAACTCTGGGCTGATACAGCAACAGCAAATACAGTCTGATGTTACCTGTCCATGAGCAGAAAGCTGGGAACGTGAAACACGGAGTCAGATACTGGAATATTTCACGGAGAAATCCGAAAGAAAAGGGAAAAAATCCTCAAGGGGTTTAAGTTTGACAGAGCAAATACACATATATTTGTTTGATTTCCATATCTGTCCATACAAACACACATATATATCCAGATATGAACATCTCCTCCACAAATGTCCCCCATCTCTTGCTGTGGGGGCAGCTGTGGGTTCCCATTCCCTCCTTCCCAGGCCTTTGCTCGGCAGGGATGGGATGCTGATGTTCTCCAGAAGGGAACAGGTGCTGATAATATCTGCAGAAGGTTTGGATTTGAGAATTCTAAATCCCTAGAGCTACAGCAGGGAAGGGAAAACCCCACCGTGTGACACCGTGGGTGCAAAAAACACCCCACCAGCTTGGACCTGGGGGTGACACGTGGAAATCTGCTGGTGCCTCTGCTCCTGGGGGATTTTGGAGATGGGGGAAGCTGTGTCTCCTCCAGCCAAGGCAGAAATTTGCCTTGTTTGGGTGAATCTGAGCAGCTTTTCCTTCCTTCTCCAGGAACTGAGTAATAAAGAGACAACTGTTGATCCCAGCCTGTAGGTACATCACAAGGACATTTCTCATGGAAATTTCTGGAGTAAATAGAAAACTGAAGGATTTGAAAAATCAGGTGGCAGAACTTCACCTAAAGAGAAAAGAGCAGTTTGTGCTTTTCAAGATTTCCATGTCTGGAAACACCCTCACCAAAACTGAGGGCAAGTGTTTTGCATCAAAACATTTTGGTGGTTCAAATATTGATAATATTTTCCTACAGAAGACTAAGAAAAAACTTTGGGGACGTTTATTTCCTAAACATAAGGAAATAAGAAGGGAAAGACTGAAATGTGGCTGATTTTGGGGATAATGCTGTTATAAAACCAGCCTAAATAATGTAGCACTTGAACGTGCAGTTTACAGATGTTTCTCTCATCCTTTCCCTCCCTGCAAATAACGGACACTGCTGTCCCTCTCCCCCGGGAATTCCCAGGGGATGGCTGAATTTAAGAAAGGGAGAAATGCAAATCTGCCCCTCTGCCTTCTGTGCTTTGCTCTCAGAGGCAGAACAGGCTGGAAGTTGCCGATGTTTGTGCTCGTCTGAACACACAGAGAGAAGGAGCTTCCCCAGCGCCCTGGTCTCAAATTCAGGGATTGCATTTCAGCCTCTCCTTTCAGGGCTGAGGTTCAAGGATTCCATTAATATAAATGCTTTCTTCCCCTTAAAAAGAAAAAACCAATTTGAAAGAAGCAAATAAAACTCGCACTGTCCGAGTGACTGACAGCTTGTAAAACCCAAACAGAATTAGGAAGGGGGGGGGGGGGGGGGGGGGGGGGGGGGGTTGCACTGCTCAGTTTTCAGGTGATCTTTACAACCTCTGCTGATTTCCCTGAGTGCAAGACATGGGAGGCAGGAAATTTTTGGGTATTCTCAGTGGGGAAAATCTACTGTAATAATTTTTTTTTTTTTCAAACAGCAAATTCACCTTTGTGCCCAAACCTGTGTCACCTGCAGAAATTATCAGGTTTTATGTCAAGCAGTAGAATGTGGGCCAGGTGAAATCCCTCATCCATGGGGAGCAGAGAAGGAGGATGGGGCCAGTTCATCCTCGATTTCCCCTCCAGTGGCTTATCCCAGCTAGGAGCAAAGGGATTCCCACCACCCCTCCTGTCTGACCTCATCTCCCCCTGCCCACACCACAGTCCTTGGGAACAAGGCAGGAAAGCCCCCAGACCCTCCTCTTGCAGCACAGGTAGAGCTGCTGGCTGGGATGAAGGAGAGACCCCAGAGATTTGGACTCAGTAAATACTCCAGCAGAGATGCTGCCTGTTAACAGGCGGCCTGAGCCACCAGCAGCCCAGAGTTCAGCCAAAAACAACCCCCACACCTTTTTTCAGCCCCCTGGTGATTTTTCCACCCAAGTCTGAAGACCATCCCTGTCCCTGCAGGGAGGGCAGGGCCTCTCACTGCCAGAATCTGTCCAGACAAATGTCCTGCATCCCACTCCCACCCAGGCACCGGCCTCTTCCAGGGAGGAAAGTCTCCGAGTCAGCTGGAGGCGAGTAAATCACTCCTGACAGCTACATCTCTACAGGGCAGTTAGAATTAATGTAACAATTTGGCGTTTAATGAAGCAACAACACGCCGGGCTGCGGAGAATGGCTGGGACCTGCTGCAGTCACATTATAATCCCTGCGGGACCCAAACGGCAGCGACTCCATCAGATGCCGACTTGTTAAGCTGAGCGAAGGGCCAGGAGGGGAGAGCAGAGCTGGGAGCGCCTCCAGCTGGGAATGGGCCAGCGTGGGGGCAGCTGAGCGCGGCTCCAGGGACAGCCCCAGCCCCGGGATGGGAATCGCCCCGAGCAGCAGGAGCAGCCCAGGGGATGGCCGGGCACTGCCCGGAGCTGCTGGGCCTGAGCAGGTCGCAGAGATGCTGAATAACGTTGTTCATGTGTCAAAAAAAAATACCGTGTGGTGCTTGTCAGAGGAGGAGAGGAGTAAATCAGCGCAGGGTGGGACTGGCAGGGCGATGTGTTTTCTAAATAAAAACCAGCTCCATCAGGTGCTCTGCACCCAAAAGTCTGATTTCTGCCCGCTGCAGGTATTCCAGCATCTCCAGGATAAGACACTGCGTGGAGGAGGGAGGGAAGGGAAGGGAACCAATGCAAATGGCTTTAGAGACAATCTCCCGTTCCCCCATGTATATACATGGCCACTCGAAGCATTGCAGCAGCTTGGAGGCTTTAAAATAAATCATGCTGTGCTTTTTTTTTTTTTTTTTTTTTTTCTGCTTGCTTTGAAATGAAAGCAACAGCACAAAAATCCAACATCCCCTCACTTGCAGGAGGCTGCAGCTCCTCTCCGGGGCTGGCTGGGGTGTGTTGTGTGTGTGTGGCCATAAAGCTCCACACGTTCTGTTGTGGAGCCTCATGGTCAGCGGCTTTAAGGGCTTGACAGGTTTATAAAGTGCTGAGTGTCCCCGGGGGACTTTGGCACTGTTTGCAGGGAAGATGAAGCGTGCCACATCCAGCTGGTCTGAGCAGGCAGCGGGAAATCTAAATTAATTCAGGAATCGCCGCTGTTTTTTCCGGGGGAGGATGTTGTACTCCAGCTACGGGAATGGCACATGGGAATATTTATTGATGGTGGGATGGGGGGCAAGGGCAGGCTCCCCTCTCTCGGGGTGGTGTAAATTAGGGCAGGGAACAGAAGTGCAAAGGGTGGCCCCAGGGCTGTGCCCCTGCAGGGACAGGGGCTCCCTCCCACACAGACACCCCCAGAGGGCTGGGCAGGGTTTGGGGGGGAAGGTTTATTCCACTTGAAACAGCTAATCTCCTCCAACCTGCCTGGAAAGAGGGATGGGCCTCATCCAGGGCTCTGCAGGTGAGGTCAGAGGGAGGTTATCTAATGGCTCCTGGCTCCCCTTATCCAGGAGCCATCCAGGAGGGATGGTGGTCACCTCCTGGTTAAGGA